TCAGCATACTGAGGGCGTTACCGCCATTCACTTTCATTTTACGATACTGCTGGGTGATAGAGATCAGCAACGACTTTGATCCGCGGTGACTGAATTACCTGCTTTTTTCCCACCTACATTTACACGAAATATGCCCTCTGCTGATATGCAGGATTCTATTGCCTGTGCCCGCAGTCTCATCCACTGGGAGTACTCTGAAAATCACCGTGATTACGTTGCAAACACCCTCATTTTTCATTGTCTAAGTACGTGTCTGTACCAAAAGCAGGTGGCCCGAAGCTGCATCCTTCATGTGGCGGCTTTTCCCAGGCAATCATTGGCACACGCCCCGCTGAGCGTTTTGTTGGTAGCACGCGAGGCGGATGTAACCGAAAGGCAGTGGAGCTGTTAATATAAAACACACTTCATCTGCGTACCGAGGGGATCATGTTAATGGCGTAAAAATTTCTCCTTGGAAAGTGCATACAATGTGCGTAGTATATAAATTGGTATGCAAAATCTTTGCACACTTTGATCTCTGTACACATGCAGTTGGGACCAGCCTGGCTTTGAACTTGGCGACGTGCATGTCAGACACCATACATCATTTCATATCGAGACTACAAAGTACGATCTATCACGGTAATTAGGACCCTAAGTCTTTAATCCCTCCAGGCTCAAGTGCCTGGCTGTTAGACAAACGGCTGGCCCCTTGTTGAAAGCCGTGCGGTTGGCTGAACTCCCCAGGGAAAATACGCTCTGCCCAGCACATGATAAAACCGGCTATTCTCCTCCGAGAAAACCGTAAATGCCATAAGTCAGACCAAATCCCATGCCTGGAGCCCTTTGTACCCATCTGAGGTATTTACGACCAACATTGGCACGTTGTGTGATTTCGTACGGTGGCATTTTCCGGAACTTGATAAAACGGTCGTGTTTTAAATAAGGTTTCAAAAATGTCACACACAAATGACAGACCGTAGGATTGAGTAAGATACGACTTCTCATTAAATACGAAATAACGGTAAACCAGGAAAGGCCATCTCAAGATTTATATCATTGCAAAAACTTTAAACAAGTTCTTTCACTTCCCTTACTTAGTTTTCAAAATGATAAAAAGAATATTAAGTAGGGACTCGGATGTGAGATGCAAGGACAAATGTAATAAAAAGTTGGCCTGGGGCACATTTCGTAGTCAATCACTATAGTCATGACAATGTCAGTCTAATTTAGTATTCTCATCATTCTGCACATTACTCTATGGGATATGTCTATTACAGAAAATACGTGAGATCACTATAACGTGCATTAGATGGTGATGCCCCCTGGTGGAAAAAAAGTAATCACAACAGTAGTGCAAGATTGATAACTGTTACCTGATATGTAAATGTACCGGCGAGTTCACTTAACATCTTAATTGCATTGAGACATCACACAAAGGAACTGTTGCATTATACTGTAGAGTGCTGTCAACACATACATTTCCTACACCCACATAGATTCTCTTGTGGTTCATTTGACTCGCAGACAACAAGACAGACAGGCCAATTACATTACCTCCAGACTAAGACAAAGGCGCCAGCACTTAAAACTTTTGCTTTAGCAAGCATCTAATGCATTTGTAATAGTTTAAATCAGATCACGGCACTTCAACATGCCTTTATAATGCAGGTGAAAAGTATGATACTTTGTCCTGCAGCTAGTCCGATCCTTCTTGGCTCGCGGGGATTTTCAGAGCCAGATAACTGCTGCATGAGGTCATAATTAACCCAATTAGTAACGGAACCCTCGCAATCAGTGGTTCACTGGAGGACGGAGCCGTCTTATCCCGACATTATTTACGTTACCATTCCTGCCATTACGCTAAAACCCGTATGGTTATAATCGTATTTTGCGGCGTGAATGTATGACTGTTCATATCCCCTCACAAGTCCTCCTCCCCAGGCATCCAGATGGTGGGACTTGTTCGAGGACCTCTTAAGATCCACGTGACCGACGCTGCTACCCACTTAAGTACGTTTTTCTCCGGGTGTATCTGCTGAAGCAGATGTTGTTGATAGGAATCTAGTGCATTCAGAGGCATTCAAGCAGCATTAAGCAGGATTTAATACATCTTTAATGCCTTACTGTGGGACTCAATACTGAAGACGCGTGTCGTGCGTTTTGTCGAGAGCTTAAGATTTGGATTCAGCATGTGTATTAACGTGCAGGTATCCGTGTCCGACGTGCCGCTCATTTTCATATGACTCGGGGGACGTGGGATATTGACAGTCGCTGGTCCCAGCCTAAAATAGCAATCCGGGCTCAGACCCGAATGATCCATAGGCGCTGGATATACCGCTAATTCTCCTAATACGTAAGACGTAATCAGCTTTTCATGGATTTGATAGGTACATTATCAATTTTCTATGCGCTTATTGCACACATTGATAACTCGCTGTAACATGGGTGTCGATTGCCCCTCAGGGCACACATCTGAGGCAAACAGCCTTTATCACAGCAAAAACAAATGTGAAATGGATCGTGATTCAATGTCAGGGATTAATGTTGCGTAGATAATAAGCCTTTGTATACACAGTGCAATAAACTTTATTACACTGTAAGTATTCAATAGCTTTTAACCCTCCTTTATTGTTTTGATGTAAGGTTAAGCCTCGTGACTCTTATTGTCATTAAGTGTAGACAATGTTAGGGTAATATATTTCGTAAAAATGATAATTAGCCTGGCAGACATGTAGTAAAACGGTATTGAATCAGAAGCAACCGTTTTATTTTTACAGATAGCGCCTGTACCTACATATGTACTGCTTTTATGGAACTAGCTATAGATAAATACATACATACAAAGGGCGTTCAGGTGAAGGACATTTAAACTTAATATTAAGCGTTATTACGCCAAGGGAAAAGTACCAGTTAAATATTATTATACAAAGACTTGAAATGTCTTTAGAAATGTTCACCATTTGTAACAGAAATTACTGCGATTTGGCCATCAAGTCACGTAGTATTTGTATGAATCACTATGGTTAAACGTGCGGTGCATCATCTTACCTTTTTTTCAAGCTTGCTGTCAAATAGACTAGTTCTAAGGAATCCATCGTGGAAAAGTCTATTCTTGTATCTGCGTGGTGTCCCTGCTTATTGTTCTAATGGCAGTGGGAAAATTGTTATAATCAAATTACACCCCAGTAACTTTATTACAGTGTTATAGAGATCTCCATACAGCCATGTAATTGTTACATTACGTGCGACACCTACGGCGGACGTGTTAGCAATGCGTTTGTCACCGAGGGTGTGACAACTTCACATGGATACATAAAAGGCGCACGCCGCACTACAAGTCTCCCTGGCATTACGAAATGCGTCGCCAGCACGCAAACACTAAAAGGGAGCAGCTACCTCCAGCGCTTGTCTGTCTCCCGGGGGAGAAGGCTTACCTCCCACCTGTCACTTGTTGGCAAACAGGAGAGTGTCAGAAACTATTTCATTTCTCCCTCGTCCCCCTCGTCTTTCCTTCAGGCGCGTTCGGAATGAGAAGAATCCGGTACCGCTGTTTGCCTCGGGCTAATCATTTGTTGTAAACATACGTCTCTATTACACCGGCGATAGATGCCATCTTCTCCAACAGCGTGAAACTGCAGGAACAGAAGGAAGGCACGTCATCCAGAAATCTCCCGAAATCCTGGATTCCAATTCCAATATCTCCCCAGCTATGAACGGGTAACTTTGTGAGACGTTGGAATATACAGGCTCGACCGTCAATGGCTTTATCGCCAGATATCGGCGACATATCGCGAGAACCATTCCCTTATCTCTCCCAGCAGGGCTGCGGAGCAGATTCCAAGGTCTCGCTAATGGTCGACTGGAGTCAGGCCTGCTTCTCCGGGACTCCTGATGCCCATCACTGAGGCAGACTGATATGGTCGTATTGGCCACTACCCAGGATACTGGCTGCAAATTAAGATGTCAAATCGGATTATATCTGTATCAGCATCTTCCTTGTTATCGAGGAAAAGTTTATCCTCATAAAACACGAAATATTAATAGCCTTATCAAGTAAACAACGCGAACCGTTTCTCATGGTCACATTTATCAGGAAATGCGTGCTTGTTAAAGAATTGGTCGATTCACTGTTCGACCAGTACTTTTAACTTGCTAGAAGTTGATTCCTGTTGATTGGAAAGTTTCAATCATTTCGCTTGCATGGCATGTTGTTGAAGATTTTAGCACATTGCAAAGATCTGTTTAAAATTCCATTAGCCAACTACAACTGCTAAATTGTAAATGCCACAGGAAAAGTACCCTGCAGAGAAGGCTGCCAGCCACTCCCCGGCCGTCCGAGGGTTTTACACATCGGTGAATGAGATAAATTGAAGGGCACAACTCTGTAAAGGTGCCTATCATTAAGCACGTTCTATTCACTACCCATACCAAACACTTCACACCTTAAGCTAACGGATCAAAACGGTTACCGGTAGTAGATGCTACGTATACGTACGATATGTGGTAGTACGACGGGTGTTTAATAGTCATATGCAATGTCTTAATTGGTCACGGTGTTTTTATTCTTTAAATTAATGGGCGCCACTCTGGTGATCTGATGACTTCCAACCGTTTACGGTAATGCGTTATTCACAACATTAAGCAGTCATCCATCCATCAAATGTGCAAGCCGAGATGCCCAATATTTCAGTTTGCTACATTTTTGTGTGAGCTAATTTGCGATTTCGGTTCTCATATGACTGGATTCTGTGAGAGTTACCCGGTGAGGCTAAATTACCCGTGAAATCCCTTAATATTCTGGCAGAATACTGTTCCCACTGCCAATATTAATCATGGCGAGATGATGGCACTACGCTAGAAGTTGTTTGTAACGTTTAGAGCCATTCGGTGAGCGGAGAGAGAGCGCAGGCGTGCTGTCGTCCCGGGGGACCCGGCACCCCGTAGTCGCGTCTCTGTCTGGCATGACAAGCCAGTCACGAACAGGTCTCCGCCAGCGACGACTCACGGGCAGACCCGGACAGTTTCATTTTCCTCTCACTCCGCCTCAGAACATTTCAGACAGGCGTTTGGACCGACTGTGCAGAAAGGGGCTTATCATAGAGTGCATGGATTAAGGATCGATATGCTGGAGGAACATCCGACGCAGAGGGCGAAGGTAATAGAGCTATCCCACAGCGGGTTCACCGCAAGCGACCGCCGGTATGCCTCCACCACGTCTCCCCCTGAAGGCGTTACATTGGGGGTAATTGGAATGATTGAAGAGACCATTGGTGTACTGGAATCCTAATAGGATTCCGCCGTGCTGTTCACACGCATTTCCTATCCAGGCAATTCCAGCGGCCGCAGTGCTGAGTGGTGCTCCGCCGGCCACTACGCTTGTGAAGACTTGATCTCCGGCCGTCCGTGGTCACACTCTTGCCTGGAGTAGCGATAATCGCCCACAGACCTTTCTCCAGAACTGGACTCCAGGTCTTACCCACTCCATCATGTTCCTAATGCCGGCTTTTTCCGCCGCTACGGTATTGGGTTTCCTCACAGGTAGGTGCAATTTATTGTAATGCCTTTAGAAATAGAAACTTCTTCTCCTTTCCTCGTCAAGAACATCCATCTTAAAGGAACTAAAAGCTCCGTCAATCTTGTCCATGAAACCGTAGGTGTTATTCCTCACAGGCAGCATTACGGTGTCATTTATCAATGCAAATTCAATGCCCACGTTATATGAAAATCCGCCCTATTTTGCCCTGTAATAAATTGGCAAGGTCCAATGAACATGTCCTTGGTCATTATCTACTGTTGGGACGCCTTACCGGTTAGTATCCTGCAGGGCTTTTAAATGCTTAAAAACAAATCTACTCCAGGTACAAGTTGTTCAATAGCTGTAGGGCCGGTGTAATTTTACCGCGAGTTGAACTATGGAGTGCCCTTTGTGTGATATCCAACAGATAACATTTGCGTTTGATGAACCATTGGCAATCTGCCTTACGAGCCGATATGCCATTGTGAAAGGTTACTACCTTTTAACTCCACTGATATCGGCCTTGTTTTTAATCCATAATCAATACTGATAGTTGCATGGGCAAGTAAGAAGTGCATAAAACTTCCAGCGTGACTGCCTGCTTCAGTCTCTGAATCCAATTGAGAAGCCGACATGTATACAGACTGAGATTCCTAGGCTCTATGTAACTTTCCCCAAGAGAAATGTACTCTGCACTTGATCATTTCATACATCAAAACCCGTGAGGTTTCGCGTGTTGTTTCTGCCTTCAGCAGCTAGTCAGAAATCTTGACAACACAGTAGATTAGGAAATCTGAATCTCCCCCGTGAAATAGCGTTTCCTCGCCCCGGGCTTCTGATGCCGTCAACTTGACACACGAGTTGCCCCGGAGTTTCTGATCTAATGACAAAGCGACAACATCTCCCCGCTAAGACGTCTCTCTTTTTCAGGCTCATCGAGAAATAACTAACCATCCATCTTATTCTCGGCATTACGGTAGTGAAAAGTAAGAATATTTCGGATCAGTTCCACGCCCTTCACCACAGGCCATGTAAAATTCGATTTCTCTCCCAGCGACCTACGACCGGCAAGGTGTTATCAACCATCTTCCAAGCCGTTTTTCTTGGCCGCCGGAACACTTCACGAAATCTGCAAGTTATTTATGGCTTGCTTATGACCGGCTATCGATCTCCAGATCCCAGGCGATAGATTTTCTGCTGCCGATAGCATCTCCTAATCCAAGAGAGGACCTAAAATTGCAAATTTGTAAGAGCCAGTGGCCGAGGAAGGACCTAGCGCCAGCTCTACGTTCCTTTTACTCACAATTTACCGCTCGTTGAGTAGTCTCTTGCGCCCATCGACCGATGGATATCTGAATAGATTTTCAATCAAGAACGCGATCTCTGCCAATGTCTCCAGGACTGCACAGGAACGGAGTGATCTGGGAATAAATTATGCCATACGTCAAGCTCAACCTAGGCTAAGTTCTTCCCACTCAGTCATTTCGGACTCCTTAGTTCAACAGTTCCACCCGTCTGTTTGGCTTGATGAGGCATGTTTCAAACAGACCGTGCTGCTGCTTTGAAAAAAGGGACCAACAGCATCGAATGTGAAAAATTGTCCACGACCAATGCGTAAATGGTCCCTCGAGTATGCCCGCTGCCAGTCAGTGATAAAATTCATCGGAATATCAGCATGTTTCGGATATTGTTCTTATCGATCGGTGGAATTCCTGGCAGTATTCAGTGGCTGTCGCCTTAAGTCAGATTCCAACCTTATTGTAACAGAAATAGCGAGAAAAACTGAACGCTGTTTCAATGTAAGGATGTCAACTAGATTCCCCAGGTGTTCTTAACGACCACATCTTTACCTATTGGCCTTACGGTGATCTTAGCTTGTTCCATTCGACTCGTAAAGCGATTTTATCATTCCGTCAATAGCTATACTAATAAGGTAACAATCCTATTGCCTCTGCACTCTGTAATAAAAACGTAAATACAAATCTGATACCCTCTGATTTAAGATCACGATCTTTGTAAGTGCGACCCATTATGACGCATTAACTTACATCTATCCCTAGTTTAATGTTATTGTATTGGATGTCTGATCTTTGGCCTGGATCTTATAGCCCAAAGAAAATATTTAATGGCATTAGTGTCACCCCCAGCTATACTGCGCCATTGACTGACAAGTCCTATTTTCTCCGAGATAAGCAAGTTATTCAAAAGCTGCACGATTAGTTCTATCCTCAAGGGCTTATCGTACAACTGAAGCAACAAAATCTGAATGATGTCGATCTTTGGGGGGCTAATGGTTGGTTCAAAATGATTAACAAGCTACCAGCCAATCCTCGGGGTAATAATAACCGAGTCATGCAGTTGAAATAAAGACCTCGAGCACGGTCGCACTAACGTTAAGAATTCACCGTTTTACACGGACCGATATTTCAGCATATGTGTGGTCTCCTGGGCACCCCGCTGACCACGGTTAGGGCTTCAAGGATCACAACTTTCGGCTGGAGCTGCCCTGCGGGTGACAGGGATGGCCTAATGTACTTACCTGCCTCACTGGCCATGCAATAAATTGTTCCATTTCTCCTGCTAAAAAAGCTTGGTGGCGCTTAATGCGCTGGTTATGAGCTAATGTCCCTACCATAAACATGGCGCCGTCCAGGGTGCTTCACTGGAGAACTTACTGCCCCGTGGTTAAAGGGCGATGTAGTTATGGTAAAGTCCATTTCACGCTCACGTTACTTGGACAAAGCAATGTCATATCAAAGGCACATCTCCACTTGAAAAGCAGTCTAACCGTTACAAAAAGATATAAAGTACTATGTACTGACGCAGTTGGAAGCCCTGTAACCCTGCAGCTCTGATACAACCAACTGATATCGCCAAATACTTTTAGCCCAACTAACCTCTTGCGATAAAAAGACAAATTCTTATGGCTCTAGTGTCATTTTATGGACTATTACACAGAAATGATTTGAATTATGAATTCATGAGGTCCTATTTTGGCTATTTTTTGCTGTGTTTTGTTGGCGCAGACGACCTCTGCTCTGTCCTAAATGCATCTCCTCGGCTTGTATGTCACGTCCACTGCAACTGGTTTGTATGTCGCCACGCTATCGGTACAGGAAGATTAATCCTTATCCCATTTCATTCCCAACACCAACCTGTGAATCTAGCCCCCTTTTCATCTTGATACATATCAGGAAATGTTACGACCTGATCCCCAGTCGAGAGGGCAATGTCATGTAAGTCACCGCACAACACCCCTAAGCCAGGCGCTCCAGGGACTCCATATAAGCTCAGATGGCCCGATCAGCCTTTTACGATCGGCAGCCCGGAGTGAGTTCAGAAGATTATCATCTCCCCGGAATACATCATTCGGCCGCAACTCGCAGGATAATGTGCGAATATCAGACTTGAAGCATTTCCTGACTTGCAAATGTACTTATACGATTTCCTGTGGCGTAGGTGATGTAAAGTTTTACACGGCGGCGGCCTGCTCTGCTGCGCCTAATTGTCCCTTCACTCTCTCTGATGGCTGAGCTAAATCTTCACCCGCAGCTTTTTGCCTCTTTGATCTTCGTGCTTAGCGCTCGTCTGCAGTACGTTTTAGTACACGTTCGTCAAGATCTACACACGGGGCGTCACGTACATGGGATTACACTGCCATGACAGTTCCCACGAACACATTTTGTGGCTCGACTTCGCCACTTTTTTATGCCCGTGTCGTGAAATATTAACGACATCATTCCTCAAAGATCCTGACAAATGGCGTTGTCTATTTGCACTCGTGGTCGCGCTTCCCCAATTATTGCTCAGTAGTCACTTTCCGGGGTTCTGCCAGCCACTATAACAAAGGAAGTCGTTATTGGTGGGGTTCTGTCCCCGTACATGCCTTCCACTTAGCCCGGAATCGATAAAGTGTTTCTCCGCCACAACAGATCACAATCGCACGTATCACTCCGGCTTAACGTTGTTTTAATGATTGCCAATGCATATTGCATCCTCTCCTACTGCTACCTCCAAGGTTGAACGAAATGACCTAAGTGAACTTACTTGTCCATTTTACATTTATCTATCTATCAACGTCAAAAAGATTAGTATGCATTACAGTATGAAACGTGGGAAACGGTAATCTCCAACAAAATAGAAACAGGACGGGCGTCTCGGATAATATCAAATGACATTTAAATCACGCGATTATTGAACTCCATCACTTTTAGATGACCTCCCTTTGCCCTCACCCTTCCGCTCTATATTACACCAGAATGGCCACTTTGATATGAAATTCAGCACATCATAACTACATGGAAAACTCGTAAAAACTCGGCACACATTACAGGATAAAGTTACACAAATTCATCTTATTTGACATTCAAAAGTTTCTTTCTTAGCAGTAGATTGACTCGGACTGCGACAGGAGGAAATCGTATTTTTCACATCAGAAGCCAATATTGATACGGAATATTAGACTCCTTTATTATTAATCCATACCGTCCAATTATATTCGTGAAACACGCAGACGTAAAGTCATCTCGACATTTGGCACCATTGGAAAGTAATGAAATAATCTCTTTTCAATTACGGCAATAAAGGGCATATCAACAACGCTGAGATGGAACGTAAAAACGTGATGAAGGTAAATGTTGTAGTTTTCTTGTTTCAAGTAACTTTTGACGACAGTTTCCTTGCGACTGTTATTACAGATTCCGCGCTTGTAGACATTCCTGGGTTGCTTATTTGTAGGCAAGGAGGGTCGGAGAGGCTGATGAGTTTTCCGGGAGGTTTCATTAAATTAACCTGAGTAATCGAGGAATCGACCAATGTTCCGGGTCAACGCAAGTCCATTTGGCCAAAACCTGCGCTCAATTCCAATAAGCTTCATTTCATGATACCATCACCTTCCTCATGTAGCCACCACATTAAGATCCAATCTAATTGTAAAAATGCCGGCACAGGTCCTCCAGTTCACCTTCAGACATCCATACTGTACTTCTAAGTCACTTCTTTTTTTTTCTGAAGTTTGCCGGTTGCGTTCCATTTCATGATCCATAATCACCATGAACCTGTTCGATTTTCAATATGAACATTAGGCATTACGTTCAAGCGCACTTCACAATTTTCCCCCTCAGATCCGCTCCATTCCTCATCACTTGAAATTCGCCTTAACTACACGTAGTTTGTAATGAGAATGTTGGAGGTGAAGGTGGAGTATTCTCCGATGAGTTCTGTGCCTGCATCTCTCCGTACCAGGCTGTTTCAACACACGCCCTGTCAGCAGCTGATAATGTCACGATCTGAGAAACACGGAGCCGAAATGACTTCCCCATTCGTCTCCATCCCGGCATAATAGGATAATCTCTTTTCAATTACGGGGGATAAAGAATTATTAGATGTTGGTTTATTGGAAACAAACGAAGAGCAGGAAATAGTGCTTTCCTTTCAATTATTGCACCCCTTTACGATACATTATATTGGCATTTGTAGTGATAACGTTCATTTGTGTGCCGTTTTGGCGACTTCTTATCTGATTCAGTGAAACTACTTGGTAGTGAAGACAGATAGCACTATAGGTAGCACTTTGCATTCTCCACAGAATGCCATTGGTCACTGACTAGCTCCTAAAAGGAGAGGCGGCCTGTAATATAGATGGTGCTTAATCACTCTTACCGGCAGTCAAAAGAACGTCTGGACTGGTCATTCCTGCCACATCTGTTGCTAACGTTAGTTTCCATCACCACGTCAGAGAGCACGTAATCGTTTAGTGGTTATGGGATTCAGCAAGTGCAGTCGTCCTAAAGCTTTTAAGAGGAGTGGTTACACAGATGAAACATTGATTACTATTCCACACAAGGTTCTGAATGGGAGTCACTTCGGTTTACCACGTTGACAATGGTGTTTTTCATGGCGTGGGTCCATGTAAGGCAATAAGTACAAAATTGCGTGATTACTCAACAGTCCGCCGTGCACTGCCATTACGATTCCGCTCACTCATATTCTTATTGGTCGATTTCTTTGCAGGGATCAGTCTCGCGCAGACCGACATCGGCCTCACCCTGCCGGAACAAGTCAACACTGTGCTGGGCGATCCCGTCACCCTGGCTGCAAGCTACAGTACCAACCGCCAGGTGGAGCTACTTTCATGGTACAAGATCGACAACGACGACCCCTCGAAAAGGGTGCTGGTTCTGTCCTACTCCCCCATGAGAGGACAGAGGACGTATCATAATTTTGTAGAGCGGGTGGAGCTTGTTGGTCCGGCGTCGCTAAAGATTTTAAAGACCCGCGTGGAGGACGAGGGGAAGTACGTCCTGTCACTGCTGGTGGAGGAGGTCGGCAGTGTGGACGGCTTCGTCACGTTACACATTCTAGGTAGGAAACTCTTCTGAACCCAAGACAATACTTTCAACTGTACAACACATGACAAGTACACTCCTAGACGAACACTCCCTTTTTGTTTCAATTACGTTAAGCCAATATCACACATCCAGCACCTTGCCCCTAACACCAAAGCAACCGACCCTGGTTGACTGAATTCCAGGAGCTACAGCCTGACCACATGTAGGCAACGCCTACCTTTTGATGCGAATCGAATTTGACTTAGATTTGAGTCAAACTTCACTGTCAACCAGACCCCGACATACTCGCGAACACTGAACACCAGCCAGCTACTATAGACAGCCATGGCCGAACATCCCGTCAATATCCGAATGTAATAAACATTTTGAAACATTTGGCTGGAGCAGACGAAAAGAAGCCAACATGGCTAAACTTCTTGCTCGACATTGCTCCGGATCCCGACCATCTGCTAATAATGGTTGGGGTGGGGGAGGGTGGGCGTGTAGTGTTCGGGAGGCTAAATTCGGCTTTCTGTGACAGAGGCTTCGTCGAAAATGATACTAGAGCGCTCTCCATGCTGGTATTCTCCAGGGAATGATGCCGACAGGATGACGTCATAGAATACATCACGAGCCACCGTAATGCAGAGGTCACTGTTAGAATTAGGTGAATCTCACAAAAAGTAAAAAAAAACATTTTGCGTTCATTAAATCAAATCAAAATGGAGACAAAAAACCGCGAACTCCCATGTATATTGCTATGGATCATTTCTCTCCTGAAAAAAGACTAATTTCCAGGAAAATTGGTACAGAAGGGAAACATAATATAACGTACTTAGGAAATATCGATTGTCTGGTAACTGGGCTTATAGGGGAAGCGTTCCTTCGATCTTCTATTTGATATAAGGCAAACCTATGGATTATCATCTAAAACCGTCTCTTTATTCTGTTTCGCTGATTTCTATTCGTAAGTATTGCAATCCTTCTTTATTTGTTTGGCAGTTAATTCAAAAGTCACTTTCAAATGAATGACTCAAAAACACCGGAGAAATTGTTTTCGCATCTACCCAACTTATCTATCCACATAACGTGGAAAAAATCGATGGTTATGAGTTCAGTGTGTCTGAGTGGGTAGCCACGAGCAGTCGGTAAAAGCATTTTTGTCATGTTTTCGAATCCCTCAATGGAATATCACGTTACGAGGTCCTGATAATGAGCATTAGAACCAAGTCATAAGATGGCATCATAAAATGGCTGCCTTGACCTCATGTTTCGATTGTGTAGACTAATCAGTTTTCCCTGTGGTGACTGTCTGTACTTTTTCATCACGAAGTCTCCAATACTATCGATATGCTTGTATCCTTAGGCTACCAGTTTTAGCACTGGCGTCTCGTTGGGTATCCTATAAGAAAAGATATCAGTGTTATATTGTGTCAACTCAAGGCATTTACGGGCGGGGAAACGCCAAAGGAGAACGTCTATTATCCACAGTATAAAAACATCTTTATGCATGAGATTTCCTGTATTGGGCCCAGACGGACATTTCCAAGACGCCCAGTTCCTCCACTAGGGCTTAGGGAAAATCTCATAAGTTCACGCATCGATAGCAGTCTGTTCATTCTACATCTAGGAGGCTTCAATTTCTTCCTATAGGAAGGACGGCTTAGTCTTTTATGAGTTATCTTGCCCGATTTCCATGGCCATTTAAAGAGATATACTGCTCTGATTATAAAGGTTAACCAGGGGCATAACTCCAGCCTCAAACAAACTTCAAGTCAAGAGCGCTCGTGACATAAATCAAAGTAAACTTGAAGTAATCCTTGTGCACTCTCACAGCTTATTTAGAAACAGATGTCTGTAGTTATATAATTAAAGTGAGATGACATAGACTTCCTTGGACGGAGAATGAAGCTTACGTTCAGAAAGTTCAATAAAGAATTGGACGCGTTCCAAAGTAGGTGGGCTAGCAGGGCAGCTGCCTTGCCAGAGGGTATATATCGACAACATGTTGTAACCACTGCTTCCCTCCGCGTTCTCGTGGTACAGGGCTGATTCTTCATAAATCACTCCCGCTGCGGACATGTACAACACTAACGTCTTACAATCAATCATTACTTCACCCAGAGCAGCAGACACTGCCCGTATAGCGGCTTAATACCACCTCCATAACGTTAATGGTTCTGTATTTACTCCCTGAACAGTCTACTGACGATAAAATAGGCCATAACCCAGCCCGTAATCCACTTTTTCCTAGGAAAGGGCGGCTTAGTCTTTTATGAGTTATCCTGACCGCTTGTCCAAGGCCATTTCTATAGGACAGCTCTGATTATAAAGGTCGGCCGGAGGCACACCTTGAGCCGGCAAACCTTGTTACCCGGCACGGATTTCATTCACTCACGAAAAGCAATAAAACCAGTGTGTATTTCACTACCCTTTCCCGTGGTGGCATTTAAGTTTATTACCTTACTGACCGGTGTTTATCGTACTCTAGCATTTTTATTACCCGGGAATAGCCCTGGCTATCGGTAATTACTTTGGGGCATGGTTAAGCCAGTTGTTTTGTTGATGGTTATACGGTAAGGCTAACTAGAGACGGCCCTCCATTACAATCATATATATATAAAAACAGCAATTAGAATCATTCTTTATGTTGAGGTCACATTTCCAAGCCGGGGCCCGGCCGGGCTGTTTACATGAACGAAAAATAAGCAATTCATATCAATAACATGCACAAAAGTGCTCATGACCAATTAATGCAAATCATCGCTCTTCGTTCTTTTAATTAAAGTTTTATTTCATACTTTTCGTTCATGTAAACAGCCCGGCCGGTTGCCGCCTTGGAAATAGGTCCTCAGCATTACGCAAAGTAACCATGTTGTTGACCACGGTTGTTTTTTCAGTCCCTCCAGTTGTTGAAGTGGGCCCGTCCAACCCCTACGTCATCGGCCTGGGAAAAGCCGCCCTCCTGACGTGTACAGTGATGAACGCCAAGCCAAACATCTCTTCTCTCCACTGGAAGAAAGACGGAACCATCGTGGACAGTAACCTGATGAACACCAAGTTCAGCGGAGGAACCATGGCGTCGCCATCTTTGATGATACGTCACGTGACCCGAACGGACGCGGGCTTGTACACATGCGTGGCCGATCACGTGGTCAAACAAGAGAGAAGCAGTCTGAGATTATCCGTGTTGTGTAAGTCCTTATTCTACCTTTGACATTAAACAAATGCAAATAGCTTGGGCTCAACTGATAACCTTTTTAGGAACGAAATGATTATTTACCCTTTCTTCTAATTTGACTAATGATCAGATATCACAACAACCTCCTCTTGTCCTTTTGCCCGTAACTTTTGATTCATTTTACGGGTCGTTAGTAAACCAGTATAAACTGCAATGAACCAGGTCTAATGGGGAAATATCGACTACTAGAGACATACATTAACCTACATTGTCTTCCTATAAACCCCTGATCAAAGTTTGAAATGACATTAGAAACAAAGTCATCCATTTATAATAGAATATTGATTGTAAAGATGTCTAATCAATCAAAAAAGGGCTTAATGGCTTGGGAATGTTTATAGTTTGATGATTATGCATGGGGTTAATAAGACCTATATTCTACATGAATGAGAAACACGGCGTTAGCAATATGTGATATGACGATCAAGGGGAACACCAGATGGTGAAGTAATATCATAAACAAGTCTTGGACTTGCGTTTGCAGGAATGTTAATGGAAGAATGGCGCGGACGATGGTATTGGGGTTAACATACAGCATATGGTACATCTGACGTTCGTCACATTAGTCACCAGGGAAATATATACGTCAAACGACGTATTAGCTCCGGGACATCATATTTTGGAACGTGTCATTGATTAACCTATTTGAGCGATCATAAATCAATGTGATGACATTTGTAACCTAACCCGCGTCGATCCCTGCCTTTTAGCATCTCCTGTGCGACGAACCGTGGTTTGACGGATTCGACTCAGAGACAACCACAATTTCTGTCTAAAACATAACCAACATCCATTTGCCCAAGTTTTTTTCTACATTAGGCCATGTTGATTTGATTATATGAATGACATCCGCGCGCGCATGAATTTTCGTCGGTTTTTAACCATACTATAAATCGCACAAGCCGCTAAATGAGGAAATATTTGTCGTAAATTGCAATATTGAAATATTGGAAATGACACTAATGTCATAGAATGTCAATTCCAAGGGAAAAGAAGAAAATGTGAAGAAATGAAAATGAGGGGTCTATTATTTCGCCATACCATACTCTGTGTGTTTAGTCATTTCTTCTACCTTCATGACCACATAGATTTCAACTTTTTTTGCCAAGCGTTTTTTTTTTTATTCGCATGCTCGCATCAGTTTTGGGTTCCAGAAGGATGTCATCCATATAATCAAATCAACATGGCCTTAGAACGTACTGTTTACAAAGACAACGTGGCTTTGGTTTCTTTATCAACCAATCTACGGCTAACCTTAAATAATAGAGGGTGTGTGGTGGAGTAATTGGATTACGAAAGGAGAAGCATTTAAAGATGGGACGAAAAAGGAGGCTAGACAGAGTCGCTCCACAAATCGCCAGACATCGAGATTTTCTCATCACTGGACTTGTTAAGCCGTCTTTGGGCCACCATGATAAGATAAGCGAGGAACATCACGTATACATAATTATCTCTACGTATAGTTCACGTAAGGACGAATTTCCAGTATGCTGTACTCATAGTTTTAGTTCTATGATTCCCGGAATTTTGGTCCTACAGAGTCCGGGAAGGTCGTCTTCCTGATTCCGGGAACGTCGCCATCCTGATCCCGAAGTGACGTCGACTAGATTCCCGGAGAGTCAGTGACCCGTGATGGTCCTGTCTACTGTTAATCAATGTGAAAATATGTATATATCACTGCGTGTGCAATCGAATCATGCACGGTGACTGATGAGGAGCGGCCATTTAAATATTTATGGTGTCGCGGGCCTCTTTTCAACCGCAGTGCAAATTTGGCAAATTATTAATGCGCCGGGGTCGTGATGATGTCCCGGTCGGTACGTCATCACTGGGTGTGAAATTATTGACTGGGTTCTAACTTTTCTTATTGCTCGCGGCACCTGGATGTGAAAAGGGCTCAGGGATGTTCGGCTTCGCCCGTGGGGATGAAATTAAATTACATTTCTCATTTCAGGCACAAGTAAATTTGATGGTACGCTAGCCCTTCGGCATTCTAGTAATTATGTGCTTTCAAAGCTTACGAATACATCTAAACGCTTCCGGGAAACCCAGTTCAATGAAAGCCAACTATTCATATATGGCATTACTTTTCTCTTGACATGATGGTAACGAGACCAGACGCTCGTGCCCCCCTCCCCCTTCATGCACGCACCCAACTCCACGAATTCATCCTCAAAACTTTGAACTCGATCAGGCATTGTAAAAGTTCATAAAACAGGGAAGTTTTTTTGCCGGTCAGCTCTCCATCACTGGTTGCTTTATATCATCCCTCAGATGATATTGCGCAGTCTGCATAACCGTACCATCATTCGCTTTTTATTACACGTCATAAAAACCGTAAATTTCACGAAATCCTGTCACATTTGGACGCCAATACCCATCCTCTGTTAGAAAAATACCACCAACTGTAACCTTTCCAAGCCGTTGTCGCTATCTGGTATAACCAAAGGGAAAGGTGCAAACTTCTATTACTGTTAATTCATGGTACCTCATAACCCCAGGAGAGACTTTACGTCCGTTTAAGATAATTGGACGTCGTTAGTGAGTAAAAACACGTACAGTACAGGTCAGCCTGCACGTTAAGAGGTCGGCAGGTTGGCGGGGATGACGTTTATTGTCGCCGGTGCGACGCTTTATTGTTCCGCTGCTGATTGACAATCACAACCGTACGGGAGTTGGTCCGTCATCCCGTAATACTGATGAGACTGTGCTACAGGCAAGGGAGCTTTCATTTCAGCGTCAAGGGAAGGATCTCTAATGATGTTATGGTTTATGACTGTTTAGAGGGTCCATGTAACGTTAGGAAGGCGTCGGGACGTTTTATAGAGGCATACTACTTACAGACATGTTGTGTCTCTGTTGGATTCTTCCTTGGTAGTATCCAATCACAGCACAATAAACTTTGTACGCCAACAAACAATATTTATGTTTACCGAAGGAAAACATGTACATATTGTTTTTGCTCAGTTTCATCTTTGACTTTGACTTTATTCTTCTTCTTCCGTTCCAAACACATGAGGTCAATGACCAGGACCAGGCGCCTATCACCATGGTAACTGGTGTTAGGTTCCATAATGTTGCAAGTGCCATGCATAATTGAGTTCAAGACGGGCTGTATGGTCACCATAAACATGCATATGGGTGTGTTTGAGTAAGAATAAACAAAGCAGTACTAGTGGTTTGTTAAGCTGGGTCATGTGAAGGTAAACATGATGCATTTGCGTTGCTAGTCTAGTGAAATTTAACTTCTTAAAGACTAGTTTTTAGTTGTTTTTGTCCCAAAAATATATGTGTACGCACCGTGACTGTGTTATATTTCCGAGGTAGTGTACCTCGCCAATGACTAGAACGGTAACACAGACGGTACGATATGATGAACGACGTCAAACTTACTAACTGTTGGCAGGGTTTGATTAACCCCACTGCGCTTGGGCACAGGATTCAATCTGCGCACGGAAACGTAATATGCTGCACACTACTGATGTGCAGAGATATTACTGTTGTAGTGGGAAAAATTACCAAACCGATCTTTGGCCTCAATACAGCTGCAGCTCAAGATTTATCATGTTGATATTTGAGTGAGGTCCAGGGACACGTTCTTATCAATCCATTGCTACATTCTTTGTTAGCTATGCCCCTGAACTTCTACAAAAACATCACATCCTTTCCAGACAAGTTTAAGCTTAAGCAAGCCTCTAGCGAACCATCTGTACAGTCTAAGCCGTGTTCCAGGCCGTGTAAGGAAATGGCGTCTGATTTGATGATGAACGTCACAGCACAAATCCCTAAATCCTTGTCTTATCTCTCTAACACGTACTTGCGTCATTTCCATGCATCAGACCCTTCAGCCATCATCAGTATGTCCGACTCCGTGACGTCATCCCTGTCGGACCGCGTCACCCTGCAGTGCGTGGCAGACGGTAACCCTCCGCCAAACATCACGTGGACCAAGAACGGGCTGAAGCTCAAGTCCAGGACGCACTCCCTGTCCTCCAGCGTACGGGCCAGCTCCATCGTCCTCCCGAAGGTCATGAAGAACGACAGCGGTACCTACCTGTGCGTGGCCACTAATGGTGTGGGAGAACACGACAAGAAGACGCTAGAACTAACCATAAAACGTACGTATGTCATCTTGTGCCCCTGGAAAAGGCACTTTACACGACTTTCCTCACTTCGCAAAGGTGAAAATGAGTACTTTATTGTCCCCTGTGTTGGTGACGGTAAGTTTTTCATAAAAACCGTAAAATTCACAAAATCCTGTCACGTAAATTTCACAAAATCCTGTCTGTCAATAAGTTTTTATAAGTGTGCCGTCACCACGTCTTGTGATTACATTTTTGAAAAAAGAACGTAAGCATCTTGTATCTTTATCAGTTACAAGATATAAGATGCTCAAAATGCAAATACACAGTACCCTTTCAATATACACATATCTGGACATCATAAAGAACGTATTATAGATATATGTATATTTACACATCACGTCATACGGTACATTTATCACATTTGTCTACACAATCAAAATTACGGACACCCCTTTGCCAACCCGACGTCCACTGGTCTGTTCTTTTATGCCCTTCTTACGTCCCACAGTAAAAGTCAAAACCTACTTAACGGCCATAACCAATAAAGGATGTTCTCTCAATATGGAGCTATAAAAGTCCCAACGACGACTAGGGGAGGAGAAAATAATAAATAGGTAGGACATCATACAGACTATTAAGTTGTTGATGACTTCTAATAAACAATGCAAAAACTGCCCTAGGGACTGCACTCTCACAGTAAGAAAGTATGGTTCACCCATACATTTACCCCAGGCGACAGTAAAACATACTATTCTAAGTATGTGCAGCATAAAGTTCTTTACGGACATAATACTTAATGAGCCCTCCAAGTTGTTAACGTGCCTCCAGGGCAGATTTTATCCTAACGCTTCGCTTACCCGAGACATATGGGGAAATCCGTAAAGCATGTAGTAAACACAGCTAACCCAGGAAGTTTGTAGATAACCTGAATCCGACCCAATCTTATTGTCCGTATAACGGGCCAGAAGGCTTTGTTGTTTGTACCGTTTTCACGTCAAAGATGCACAATAGAAGCACCAGGTCATGCAATGAGACAGGTTTAATTTTTTGTACATAAAGTTTCACCTAAGTTAAGGTCATATTGTAGTATGATGTCAGTTTAAGCTATGAATGATGGCTCTGCGCCACCTAACGACAAAGCTTAGGATAGCACCTGTGAAAGCTGAGACAGAGATTTACAGTATCCAACCTGATACTTTCTCCTCACACTCGTGTCTGTCAAAGTGTGTTGCTTACATATTGCCCTATCACGTAACCGTTATAATGTGGTGAAACATTATACGGCCATACAAGGTCACAAATTTGTAAACAATCCGAGGTTCCTTCACAATCACATGTACAGTGTAAGGCAAGACCAGTGCAAAGCATCAATCACGACTCCTGCCATGATTTTGTAGTATTGCATGCATGGCTCCATCAATAACGCTGCTATGATTGTGTCTGCTACAGAGGTATAGTTTCTCGAAACCTGTACAAGGATAGTACAACAAAGTTTTGTAAATGTTTTTTCCGCGTCCAATCTGATGAGCACTATAAGGCAAGACCAGTAGGACTAGAAAGCGTCAGTCGAGACTCCTTCCACCATTTTGTAGTATTGTATGCTTGGCCCGATCAATCACGTTACTATAATAGTATCCGGGGTATAGTTTCTGTGCAAGGAAAATACATCTAGTTTTGTGAATGTATTCCAGCATCCACTCTGATGGCCACGCTAAGACAAGACCAGTAGGACTAGAAAGCGTCAGTCGCGATTCCTTCCACCATTTTGTAGTACTAGTATTGTATGCTTGGTCCATCAGTCAAGTTGCTATGTTAGTATCAGCGGTATCGTTTGTGCAAGAAAAAGACATCTAGTTTTGTGAATTTATTCCAGCGTCCGCCCTGATGGCCACGCTAAGCTGGAACACGATAGCGGTGATTATCGGCGCCACGGCGGGCGGGCTGTGGGTGGTGGTGTGCGTGGGCATCACCATGTACTTCATCAAGAGACGGCGGGAGAAGAAAGACAAGGAGAAGTACGCCTTCTACTACAAGATGGGGCGGAAACAGGGCACGGACGAGATGGACATCAAAGACGGGCAAACTAATGATGGCCCACCAGGTAATGTTACAGCAAGTTAAGTCCCTGTCACACACAGCCAAATATGGCCTCCCGAACACTAGCAGAACTCTCTAAACCATGGTTGGGAGAAGATCGGGAGCAGGGTCGGAAGGGTTGGCTGGTGTTCGGCCAAGTGTTCGGCTGCGCCAGCCGAATGGTTCAACATGTTTAAAACATTCGTGTATTGTATTGGTCGGGAGGTTCAACCATGGTTCATGATTAGGTGGGTAGTGGTTAGCATTCTACTCAAATTTAACTCAAATTCGATTCGATTTGTTTTAAATGTGTGACAGAAGCTTAAGATACGTTATCCATTGTTCAATTTGGTTTAGGTCCTCAGCCGTCCTACGTATACCTTTTGTCTGTAAAATGTACATTATACAATGTGTATGATGCATTAAAACTTTTGTATTAACATCTCATTTAGAATCTTGGTTACGGTGCATCACATAATTTCTATGTCGTTATGAATAGTCTACAGCAATGACGACACAACAATTAAATGATAAATTGTTCAGTTTTCTTTCGTCTGTCTTTCTTTTGTTTGTAAAATGTACATAATACAATCTGTATGATGTATGATGAAACTTTGCATTAACATCTCATTTAGAATCTTAGTTTCGGTGCAGCACATAATTTCTATGTCGTTATAAATAGTCTACAGCAATGTCGACACAACAATTAAATGATAAATTATTCAGTTTCCTTTCGTTTGTCATTTCAGGGAAGCCGCCAAAACCGCCGACTGACCCCTACGCGGGAATCAATACAATCAGGAGACAGGCGGCAAAGAAAGGGAGGAACGCCGGTGAGTACGGTACAAGTGTCATTCAAGCCAGAAACGATAGATGTCGCTTCTGTACAACTCAACACGGCTATGTACGCCATCTAGCGGTAGATACATGAAGTGAGTAAGTGATTGAATCGAAGTATCTTCGGAGAAAAAAGAAGGTGAAATGAATGTTTCCTTCATGTTGATAGATCAGAGATACAACAGTTTCATTTCAACAGTTAGTTGTTGACCGAAATAGAACTCAAATAATAACGAAACATCTTTTATAATTTCATTTCAAAATTCCATTAATTTTCCAGATATTACATTAGTTATATTTTGCGTCTACTTCTTATATATATATTTGCATCAACACGTCAGAAAGTTTTCATTTATCGTGGTATTGTGTGTTTGGATTTCGCCAATCTATCAGCCCCGGGATTTTCATTGATCCATTCACAATTTCTCAATGAATAATAGCATGTCTCACCAGGGACAAAGAGGGTAAGTAGGTAATGAATTATAGTGTCACCTAAATGGGTACAAAACGGCTCCAGACTGACAATTCTAGATGCAATAAAGAAACAGGAACAGGCGTTATCTTTTTGGTCTGTCCTTACAGCCTACAAACTTGCCTGGTTAAATCAAGACGAATTCCCTGCTCTATTCACTGCAAGAGTTTTCAGGGAAGCGTACTGTCTGCACACTGCACGGGTTGTGCTGTCCGTAAGCCTTTTCCCGTCTGCTGAAAATTTACGACTCATTTATTTTTAACGAAAGATCTCGCGCGATCTACAAAAGCAATTTAGAGTGGGGGAAGGCAATGTGGCTCCGGTTGAAGTGGCCGGTATCGGCGGTGATCTAACGTCTGGTGTAAGACGCCGGAATCCTGCACAAACCCATTCACGCTGCGGGCCACACGTCATAGCGAGTTAGGCCATGTTGAGTTGATTATATGGATGACATCCACGCCCGCATGAATTTTCGTCCGTTTCCAAAAAAGTTTTCGACCATACGGTAAATCGTACAAAGTAGCTGCAAAATGAGTAAACATGTGCCGTAAATTGAGAAAAAAATATTGGAAAATGATACTTGTGCCGCAGAATGCCAAAATCCATTCAAAAGGGCTAGAAGAAAATGTGAAGCAATGAAAATGAAGAATCTGTTATTCACTATGCCAATAATATATTACTCTGTGTGTTTAGGCATTTGTTCAACCTTCATGACCACCTAGATTTCATAGTGAAGACAACTTTTTTGCCAAACTTTCTTTTATTTGCACGCTCGCATCAGTTTTGGGGTTCCCAGAGGATTTCATCCATATATTATAATCAAATCAACATGGCCTTAGGACAAGTGAGACAAGTAAAGTCAGACTGCAGTTTGAAAACAAATGAATAAAAGACCTTTATCATACGTTCGTGCTCTTACAAGCTAAGTACAGATCAGGTATAAAACAGAGGTAAAATTACAATGGTATCTTACTAAAACTGTACATACTAATGTGAACTACTATTTACAGATTCAACTTTTTCTCGCTTCTTGACGCAGTGTAGATGTGTGAACATATGGAGCTAATGATACATGGTTTGTCTAGTTCATAAACATTTTCCTTATTTAGTATCTGACTAAACTCAATCTAAATTGACATTCACTTCGTGAAGAATTGGTAGAATAACATATTCATATCTAAGTTTAGTGTTAGCTTCACAGATCAGACATCATGTTCGTTACCAATTTATTTTCATCAATTTCCTAATTTAACGCTCCCCTGCATGCGTATCCAAGATGGCGGAACAGCGCCAACTTTTTTTAATTAAAACGAATCTCAACATGCAAATTTGTGAATAGAAGACAGGCTGAAAGATTTGGGTCTTGTCAAAAGGGATAGCACCGTAACATTTATTCTTACAACGTGAGAATAGACCATGACTTTTGGTAAGATTACAATATCTATCTGCACTTGACTCATGACACTAGCACAATGGGAAGCAGGTGCATGGTTTACACTGAGAGTAATCAGTTATATAAGGCCGGCTGAACCTAAAACACTAGATCACAGCACAATCTTGCAATGGTTGATTTATCACAAGGCTTTAGGAAGCTAAAATATCAGATAATGAAGAATACTGCACTAGTCTATATGATAACAATTTTGATCATGACAAAGCACTGTTGGTTTGTGGAAAATTAATTTTCGTTTCTGGTCGATAGATGGTCCCTTGTCATAATTATGGTGTTCAGGGAAAATTACTTCGTGCCAGGTTAAACTGATAGTGACTAGAGGATTGGACAACATGGCCGAGTTCCAACATACAAGCCAGACATTTCATCAATTCCTGTGCTAGCTAGTGGCGGTTCTAAGGGCAAGAGTCCAATATTGACATATATAATCGGTCCTCCGCCTCCAAAAAAGATGTGATACCATGTAAAACTAGAAAGGTAACATTTTCAAAGTAAATGCATACTGTGTCATGATCCTTCCGTATATGGTCTGCTCTGTTAATTCTTACTCAAACACATTCATATATATATGGTCAGACAGGAGTCTAAATCCTTCCTGCTATAAAATTGCAACATGATGTAACCATGCCCCATGCACCAGTTATCATGGTAACGGACAGTCTGGTTCAGTTCATTGACCTTTTTGGTATGGAGAAGAAGAAGAAACGTAGCAAAAAGCAATATGTTATCAATCGGTAAACATGAAAACCTGTATTACACAGACGAGAATGTGTCAGAGTATCCTAACTCCAGGAGTGACGAATGAGTGATTTCGAATTGTGACGTGAACCAAGTGGCGTTATCCCTGCCCAAGCGCACCCAAGTGTGCTGGGCACAATTTACATGCACACGGGGCAGATTGGTCCGACTGAGTTATTGGAAGCACAGATCTCCTCGTTTGACCTTGAACCCTGAATATCGCTCTCCAACCATTTCTCAAGTATAAAACATTTCAATGCATGGATGGCCTGATCTTGACCCTACAGCCGATTCGGCGTCAGTTACACTGTTATTTCAATCACTCAAATCTCAGGGTCACGGTCGACACCCAAATTACGGCAGAGAAAATAACGTATGCGCAAGCCTGTACAGTGGGTGTGCTGTGGTATTGACATTGTGGTGATTAGCGATCGATATGTAAATAGGAACTGTGTGATAGGAAGCATTAGCGGCTTCTAACGGCAGAAAGAGGTTCAAATGGTTTGCAACGGTGGTACATTTTCTACCCGTTTGATATACTATGTAATGCGGCGTCATTTCCATCCTAAGCCCTTGTCACACATGCACCCCCCCCCCCGAACACCAGCCGATCAAGGTTGGTTCGGAGCAGTCTGATCAGATTTTGGTCATACCTGCATTTCTGTATTAATCTAATCGAATTTGAGTTAAATTTGAGACAAATTTGACTGCCAGCTTCGCGCCGACCTACTTCGAACACCAGGCAACCACCAGCCAACCCCATGCCCGACCCTCCCGTCCACATTCAAGCAGTAGCCGCCTTGGCCGTACAAAAGCCGACCCAGCCGACTTTGTCTCCTACCTACTGCTAACCATGGTTGGGGGAAGTTCGAGTAGTTTCCGGGAGGCCATATTTGACTATGTGTGAGAGGGGCTTTAATGTGGCGTCATTTCCATCTTTACGAGCGTTCCAACCATCACCCACCTTCCAAACCAACGAAAACGTCGTTTCTATGTAGAATGTTTAACGGGAACGTGGCAGCAACAGTGTGGTTGATGGAGGCAGTACGTAGTGGATTGCTTGATGGAGTACTGCAGTACCTGCTCGGAAACGCCGTCTGCGTCGGTGGAAACAGATGCGCAGTTCCGTAACTACTTTATGTTATGGTACGGACCCCTCTCACGTGACCATAACCTTATCAGGACTCGCCCTTAACCATACTTCATGCCAACTCAGATCTATCACGGTTAGTGCGAGTCCTTCATAGGGTTATACAGCCGCGCTATGAATAAAGACAGGAAAGGGCGAGACCCTTAGCTTTGCTATACATATACGAAACTGCCTCAAAAAGATCAGCGCAGCTTGCCATTTTGGTGCTTGTTATAAAACGTCACCGCTAAAGTGCATGCCCAGAAATTTTCTTGGTCTTTAATGTCCGAAAAGTCCCTCCTTCATTTCCCAAACTTAGGTGCCACTCGTATTTTCATTCACATGCCCTACACCCCCAAACACACATACGTACACACACAGATGCACACACACACACGCTCGCGCGCGCGCACACACACACACTATGCACGCGCACACGCGCACACACACAACACACACATACTCGCACACACATTTGCACGCGCGCACACACACACACACACACACACACACATACACTTGCACGCACACACACTCGCACGCGCACATACACACACACGCGCACGCGCGCGCTCGCACACACACACACACATCCACACACGCGCATTCACACGCACAAACACACACACACACACACACACACACATACTTCTCTCGCACAGAATCTACCCAGTTCCCACAGTCACAACCTTGGCCGTCTAGCTATCCATCCACCGCTGGCATTTTACGCGTCATCTACCTTTCCTTTAAACGTGGGAAAAGTTGGACCGTTTCTGTTGATTTATGATTTTCCACTGACGCTTAATCTCCGTGCAAAACTGTTGCCCATATCTTCCCTTGTTATCTTTTCTCAACTGGAAATATTTCTTGTCAGTGATAAAACGTATCAATGACAGGATATAGGGAATGTTCTTATCTTATTATTCCACCTTTCTTGTGAGGTACTTAGCGGCGCACTCTGTCTTCTACAGGGCATGCACTCATGAAATCCAGCTCTCGTCGTGTGCAGAAAAACCTAAATCAATGGGTAGATTTATTTTCGTGTCATCTCACATCTCTGGAGTCAAAAAAATGAGCATCACGTGCGATCTATCTATGTAGTTTATAGACACCCTGTGAGAGGGTACTTCGCTAGAGGACGATATCTTTGTTACCTGTGCATGCATACCCACGGGTGATCGGAAGATATTTTTATGTTATCCCTGACTCTCGGATGCTATCACTTTATCGTGCTACAAAATACGCAGATGTGTAAAGCTTGCCCCAGAAATAGATTTATAGTATTTCGGGAATGAATATCTTCAGTCCTGCGGCCGTATCTGAAGAAGGTAATCCCCAGCAGCCATAAAGACATCAAATGGCGGCCGGCTTTATGCGTCCGGCTAACTAATAAAGTGAGGATAAACATAACTTTCAAACGTTACAGTTAGAGGGAACGTTATGGCATGTGGGAAACTTTTGCAACTTGTTCTTAAAAATCCTTAGAGCGCCCCTCCCTCTTGGCTAGACTTACACCACATCGATCGAATTTTTTATCAGTTGTCAATGGCACGTTTTATTTTCAATTGTTCCTGAGGGAACGCTTACCGCTGTGATGTTTATCGTATCTTCCCCGAAACACAGACAGAAGATACGCCAAGGTACTTTACCCCTATCGACCCACGGAAGACAACGAGTTGTGCTTGGAAGTGGACGACGTCATCGAGGTGCTGGAGGGGGAAGATGGCGGCTGGTGCCTGGGTTACCTGAGGGGCAGGATAGGCCTGTTCCCCTCCAACTACGCTACCTTCCTCACAGCCAGCGAAGGTACTTATTAAACGGTAAAACAGTCATAAAAGTGGTAGTGCAACATGATCAGCACAAAGTTACTATCTTGTTACGTTTGTGAGAAAAAATATAGCTAATCATAAGTTGGCCGTTAGACGAGCTTCCTAAATAAAATCTGAGTAGGTGTCGTTAAGATGAGCTCATTAAATGTGATGGTTATATTGTGAACATGGCACCCCGTCTACGTTTTATTGGTCTTCATCCATTTTTTGTTGCGGTTATCCGAATGGACATGACTTTGCATTGAGTTTCCAGCATTTCACGACTAGGACCTGGTGTCATTAATGATAAACTTTGTTTCCAGGTTACGTAGAGGACCTTCCTCGAGTTTCACAACTTTTGGAAACTGTTCTACAGATTTGCCGTGTTAGACTACAAAATGTTCACAAGAAAGTTTTCGTCCCTTTTTTACTGTTTCCAAAGTTTGCACCACCTACCTTTTCAGCAGCAACAACTGAGTTTAAATCTCCATAAACTGTAGGGCCTTCATTAACTCGCGAAGTATGAAACCTCTGTCAGAACACAAATTGACAACTTTTGGAAACTTTTCTACATATTTACCATGTTAGACCACAAAGTGTTCACAAGTTTTCTTTCCTTTTTTTTCTGTTTCCCAAGTTTGTACCACCTAACTTTTCTGCAGAAATAGCGGAGTTTAAATCTGCATAAACTGTGGGGCCCAGATACCTTCATTACCTCGCGAAGTATGTAACCTCTGTCAGAACACAAATTGACAGGTCTTGTAGTTAAGAAAAGAGTGCGACATCGTCCTGTAAGACACATCCCGGGGGCTTAACACAGGTTCAACAGAGACAAAGGAAGAGCCAAAGGCCCACCCTTATCTCCGCTCGCACGCATACCTTTGGGAAAAACGAATTTTGCTGCGTTCACCTTTTCAGATAATCAGAAGTGAAAGACGAGTCTCTAATGGGACCTGTATGACTTATATCTATATATCTCAGAACGTTCTTTAACGACCTCCTTCAAGGTGAAGCAAAACTCGTCAGAGGACAAGCCGAAAATCCCCCTTAATGAATTTGATACGCTTGTTTGCTCAATCGTGATGAAGCGTACACGATTCTCATTCTTCTCACGTGGAGCAAGACTAATAATAAGACTGCTAATACCAAAATCCTGAGATCATGAGAGATTTTACAGGAGATATTATGCAGGGTCTGACGTTGAGCCTCCCTCAAGGACCCCCGCCATGTTCACACAACTGTACAAGGTGTAGAACAAATATGCCTGCCAAATCATGATGAATTCTTCTAACCAGTCCAGCATATGATTTCTGGCAGATAAATTTATATCGCATACATCTCAGTGTTCATAACTTAAGAACTTTGCAAAGTCACCCCCCCCCTTATCTTTTGAAGTTAAGATCTCTTTGAGAACGGTTTCGCTTCAAGGTGTAGAACAAATATGCCTGCCAAATCATGATGAATACTTCTAACCAGTCCAGCATATGATTTCTGGCAGATAAATTTATATCGAATACATCTCAGTGTTCATAACTTAAGAACTTTGCAAAGTCACCCCCCCCCTTATCTTTTGAAGTTAAGACCTCTTTCAGAACGGTTTCGCTTCAAGGTGTAGAACAAATATGCCTGCCAAATCATGATGAATTCTTCCAACCAATCTAGCATATGATTTCTGGCAGAGAAATTTATATCGCATACATCTCAGTGTTCATAACTTAAGAAAGTAAGCCACCCCCTCCCCCACACTTTTCTTTGGGAGTTAAGATCTCTTTCAGGGTGATTTCGCCGGAGAGCAGTTCAATTACGGTTTGAATTGTGGATTGACCTAATTCACTAATGTCAAACATTAGAGACAATCGGCCTACAGGTGTTAAATATATATCTGGCGCCAGTTATCCCAAAGTGTTACTGTTCTGGATTTAGGAAGAGAATGGTCGATTTCATACCTAATCAACGATTAACCTAGATAACCCTTTGCGGTTCAAATAAATGGCAGGGCCAATTCTTGTTGCACTCAAAGTCTGTCTTTTCACTCTTAAAGTTCATAAAAGTGACACGAAGACGAATGAAATCATCCGTTTGTAGATTGTCCCATTCGTGTGGTCGGAAGCCCGCCCGCAGGTAACACCCGGGAAACTGTCAGGATCTCCCCGGCTTCATTCTTCTTCAGCTCCGATCGATCAGACCCTCTCCCACGGTACCGACTTAGGCCCATCGCCAATCATCGTGTCCTTACTTCCGTATTGATCACAGGCGAGAAAAATAACACTTGATCAACTTGTCAATGTCAGTGGGCATTGAGAAAACAGATTTGTTATTTCACTCACCGGAGCCTGTTTATCGAGAAATCTCTTCCTTTCACGGCTGGGCGTCCCCGGCACAGTTTGACGGAGGCACGATTAAACTAATCAATCACTCCACGTTCCCTCGCATCTCATTCAAGATCCTTTAAACCTTCACGTAATTAAAGTACATGGCATGTACACCTGATTTCTCTCCACGTGTATGGTGTAGGTGTCAATGTGATAGATTAGTTCTGTGCAAACCACACTGCAGTGTTCATGTATTTCCGCCTTACAGGACGTCAGAAAAATCCTTGTTTGAGTCCTGCTGGTACCAGCTACAAATCTTCACTGAAAAAACTCTTTCAGCACTCCGTCTTTAGCTCTTGTCAGAATAGAAATGTGACATAAAGACTAACAAGCAGTTCATTATTCAAGAAATATGTGCAAGAAATAGCTCTTTTTTCTAAAATACGACGACTTGTCATTGAGTTCTTCTGCCGCATGCGATAGGTCGCCAAATGTCACCTTGACGCGGCTGAGCGATGATGTCTTTGTCGTCACTAAGCCCAGCATCAATGTCTATTATCCACGGATCTAAATGGCCTTAAGTGTGACGTGCACTTTGAGCACCATGATTTACATAGCTGCAAATTCCCTCTTCACTCCGTTTGTGTGTACGGATCTAGTCTCCTAAATTGATCGCATTCAGACTTTTCTTACTACTTAACTCTTTTACATTTGTGGGTCAGTTCGCGAAGATCTGTATTTGATAGGAATAAGTAACTAAGTAAGTTGTCATCTCATTGCATTAAGTACTTTTCTTTTGATGAATCGTACACAGAAGAGAGAGATACGTCTAAGCGAAATAGCTTCACGTCTGTTCTCCTCGTGCCATGCTGTTCAGGTGGGAAGACAAATGAGTCGTTTAGTTGATGGTTTGTGTCCGATAAGCATCTGCCACCTAGGTCTTCCAAAAGCTAATGTAACACTGCCGTGTCACTAATTGAGCATTGAATCTACGTATGTATTTTACTCCAATACCTTCATTGAAAACTGGGGCGTGGTTCAATACCCATCGTAGCCTTTGTGTACAACAAAAAGACAGTAAATATATCAAGCTAAGCGGCCTATTTTACTTCCTGTATGTAGTATTCACATCAAGAAACATCGTTAGTGCTTAAGCTGGGAATTTATCAGATGCGCTCGTTAAATCGCCAGTCTTTAGAAGCCAAGCCCATAGAATCAAGTAAATTATATGTTTATCTCTCTGTAATTTTCGCCTAAATGATAAATCAATGGCCATCGACCCTCCATGGCCCGTTTTCATTGACTGACCCAGATCCAACTCCGAAATTGTGCAGTTCCAAACGTTAAACATCGTACATCATGGAAATCAATATGCATATAGTCATTAGCATCTCCTTATAAACTCCATGTGTTCTGGATAGTGATGGAACAACGCCATCATTATTCTGGACACATCTTCATGTAAAAACTATAGTGTCAACGAAGTTGTGTACACTTTGATATGTATTTTTTCTGTAATGACTTGTCTATTATATATTAGATAATAACTGCATCACGTAACAATATTTCCAATCAATATCTATATGCAAACCTCATAAAGCAAGGAGGCTTCGTACGGAAAAGTAATATTATCCAGCTTTTCGGTAATCCCCTTTATAATCCCTAAATATTGAATATTGGGCCAGATGCTCATAATACTTACTTTCATGTCATATTTGACCTTTGTATTCTAATAGATGCATGAACATCCCAGTGCGCTGATCGTCGGAATCTGTTCACTTAAAGAGCAGGTAGGATTAACTAATTTGAAATCCGCTTGTATCCCTTATCAGTAGTAAAGAGCAAAAGATACTAAAAATGCCGCTAATACATCTAAAAGTCTATGCACATTAGTTTTGCATCAATATGAATCTTCTCCAAGCACTGTCATTGGTAGTGCTGTCCTGCAATCAAAGAATCTTGCCTATTTGTTTCGGATTTTGTTTTGTTACTAATTACATAAGCAATAAATCTTTATTCTTAGAGCAGCAGATTATATATATTTTGAAAGGAACATTATTGATTTTCTATATTTTGCTGTACTGCAGAGTATAGCTGATGGATATGGTATTGAAATCAATACAAACAGGGGGTAGCGTAAGAATTTGCTCATGGTAATGGTAATAATAGTAGTTTTGTCGAAGGCATTGGACATGGTACTAGCCATCCCCTGCAAACTCCTGAAACTCTTTGGCAAGTTCACCGACCTGTGTATAAATGCTCTATAACCAGATGAAATTCAAAAGAGTGGGCGGAATTCTTTGATAAGCTTTAGAACGTTCTAGGCATTGTAAAAGTCAATCACGAAAATCCTGTAAGACCATCACATTCACCTGTGGGAAACCGGGCTGACAGCTAATTCCTGAGTATAAAGCAATGGGTAAAACCCCCAGATGAAGTCAGTCTAATGAACTGAACCGATGTCAAAGATAACTTTAAGAGAAGATTCACAATAAATAGTTGGCACAGAAGTATAAAGAATGTCCAAAATGAGCTTGGTTCGTATATGCAGCTTGCTAGTGCCAGACTTACATAGAGCTTCGGTATCTCGACGGCTGCACATACTGAGATATTCTGTGTGCAACATGCCTACTTATCTCTTGTTTCTATGGACAAAAGCTAACCTGAACTGATCGTCACGCTGACCACGTGTGGCACAAGGGTCTCAGACACATTATTTTGGGTCGCCTTTTAGCAATTTGCCATGATAGGATCTTATTACCCGTGTCTCACTTGAGTATTGAAAGATGATAATACTCTTACAGTACATTACTGTTCAAAAACTACTAATACAGTCCAGCAACATGTTGAAAATCTAAATTCTGAAGCTGTAGAGGTCCCAAATTTTCATTACCGCGGTAACCTTACCTGCATTTGCAGGGCGGAGAGCGGCTCCAGTCAGTATGATATGTTATTATAGAACTCAATAATCCCAGCGCACGATATCGTTCTCTACCACATGTGAGCAATCCAACAACTTGAAGTCCAAAGTTTAAGAATCGTAAAGATTGGATAATTTCACAGTCTGTGCTCTTCGTCCTCAATACTTCTCACTCAATGACCTACCTATGCTATTTTACGGTGGACTATTTCAGCTAGCTATCACGTTATTGCTTTAAAATTCTACATCTAAGCACTACCTGCACCAAATATCCCGTTGTATTATTTTGTTTCATCGCGCTTCTTTGGTTCTGCCATTGGGTAATCTGCTACAGGCTTACGAGTTTCTAATACGTTTGTCTTGTTATATCATTTTCTTATGATAAGCCCTGGATACATAGGTGAAATAGTGCATTCCGTATCGTGCTAGCTAGCTGTTACCCCACCGTTATTACGACATAGTGTATGCGTGACCTGCATGTGGGACAAAGTATATCAGACGTTCTGACTAGACTCTACGTTACCAGGTTACAATCAGCAAATGCACAAATTGGGACTGCAGCTACAATTCCCCCGGCGCCTACATCAGAAAGCCCGTGAATAGCTGGTGCAATTACGTCGTTTCCACATGATTCCACCATTTCAGGTTAACATAGCCATCCGTGCACATGTGACAAGACTGTCTAAATTGGAGTATAGGGACAGTTTCTCTGACAAGCATAAAAACATTTGAGACTCTGATAAATGCTCCACATACAATGATGCACGTTCCGTTAGATAATTCCAGAAGTGGAATACATTTTAGGTTCCTGCTCTCGATGGTATTTCACCTCTATGTATTCCTTCATTTCATTCGGCACACGGACTTTTCTGAGAAACAAATCCCACTTCTTCAATCTTATTAGAGAACACGAAGTTGCTACACGTAAATGCCTTAAGGGCTATGCAAAATACGCAGACGTGTATTTTGACGGGTATAATGACGAATCAAATAAATGAATCAACACATTACAAAGTGGCTCGTCGTCTATATGAATGCTTAATGCGTTTTCATGATAAAGTTTTTCCAGACCAAGACTTGATTAAACACACGGCAGATCGTTTATACGACATATCGCTCCACAAAAATGATAGACCTTTGGGAACTCGATAAGAGAGGACAGAAGAGTAACCGCCAAACCTTATCTCACTTTGCTTTTTATGGTAAAATGCAGGTTTTATCACATCATCTGTCACCCCCACAGAAAATACCATGCTTCCGTTAGGGAGATATCGTTATTTCGGTAAAGCTGTCTAGAGAAATAGGTCATATCCGTTCAAATCGACAGTTCTGAAGTATATATAGTTGCCTCGTCGTGATCTACATCTCTTTAGTTTTGTTTTGTTTTGTACTTTTGTTTTGTTTTGGAAACATAATTATATTGATAAAACATGGTGACGACACACTCAAGTTACACTTATATTCATGTCGCCACCAACACATAAGACAATACATAATACATGGGACAAGCAAAGTACGAATAAACATGTAAAAATCAAATACAAAAATTAATCGATGAACGGGTGAACAAATATATATACAAAGACCTACAGGACTGACATACTAAGATACTACAAAAACCGATTGTATTCTAACAAAAAGGTTTGTACATGTAGCAATATTTGAATGTTATGAGTTGTTGAAAGCAAAGTAGAAACTATTAAGTAGAACCTCTATGTTTACTTTGTCACCGGCATGACGATTTCGCTGCGTCCTTTTCAATCCTGGATCTAAATACAAATCTACGCTCATCGCATTATTGGGTTAACCAACAATCTAAAATTTATCAGATACTTAAAGGATTTTATTACTAAACACATAACATTTATGTGTCCAAATTGTTTTTCCGTTCAGTGATTATTACAAATCAATGTAAAGACTGCGATAATGCCATTCGATAATGTGCATAATAATTTAAAATCGAATTTGGTAATATTACTTTCATAGTGCATTACACAAGGTCAGAGTCATCGGTCTCTCGCCCGCCCTAAACCACGCTAAATGTACGGGTGAGTGGTAGCCTTGCACAACTGGAGAGTCGCCAGTTGCAGCGTGGATCAATGATTTGATTGAGGCTGATATCAGCCGTTATGTCCATGGATTCAAACTTAATTGCGATTCATGACTAGCGGAGTCGTCTGCCTACGCCATCAGTTATTCCACGCGACGCTCTACTTACCCGCCATTAACGACCTTTTTACTGGCTTGTTTTGACTTATAGCTGTTGAAAGCTTCAGGCGCAAGATGACTTACGCCCAATTCTTTGTCTCCCTTTCAGCGTCCACCATGAAGTTGGAAATGATCTACCAAAGTATGGATGACATCGTCGCCTCTCCCGCCAAATGCAGCATGTGAACCGAATGAATTGACATTTACCCCGGGACCTGCCGGCGGTTCCATGTCGTTCCGTGCCAGTTGAACCAAATCCAAGCCTAAAACGCCTGGAACACCGCGCATATTTCAAATCCTGCAGAACTTGACTTGTCCAAAACACGGCAACGTCAGGAGTTTCTGAACTGTTCTGCAGCCGGATATGCCCTATATATTATATGATTAATGAAAAGACTCTGACTGATTCCATGAATCTATCATAATGATTGGTTTTAATTGAAAAACAATCCATTAAAGCAGTGCAAAAGGACCTTCTGGATCAATACAATTTGCTCTGCCACATGTGCACAAGGAAGATTGCCGATAGACAAGCGTCTCTACCGCTGATTCTGTTAGTGAGACGAGATTCTGAGACTTTTGCTGTCATTGGCTGGACCTGATGAACAGAGACTCTCTGGATGCAGCTGCAGACTGTTGAAGATTTCTCGCTGTCGGAGTTAAAATGCGATTGTAGTTGATAGTAGTGTGATACCGCCTGCAACTTATTCTGCCCCAGCAACTGGAGTGCATGAAGATGGACTTCGTGGATCTCGTGAATATTGACAGGAGCGAAGGCTAAACCGATCTTTGGTGACAAACTTGAGTAATCGAGTTCACCGCTTCTTGCTCATCCCTTCCCGCTGGCGGTGTGTCGGAGGAAATCCGCTCTCCGGACCACATTAAGAGATTGCGATGCAGAGATAAAAGTTTCATGCCCAAGAATCCTCTTTGATATCAAGGCAAAAGTTTGCAACCATCGTCGATCACGATTAACCCGCGACATTGTTACGACAGCGTCGAAGGATCCAATGTCGTCCACTATCAAAGAAAGGTCGCCTCTCTGTTCTGCTGAATACCGTTATTCAATCTGGGTGATGAAATACTAGAATTAACGGCGGCATCATCTGGTATAGAGTATTCATCTGGGGGAATAAAGTCGATCCACGAGGGCCAGGTGACAAACGAAGTGTAAGCCGCGGAGGAGACACTTTGCCTAGAGAGGAAGTATGGGGTGGCTTATGGGCGACATGATAAGCGATATGCCTTGAAGGACCTTCACGGTCATTTCTGACGATGACTTGGTCGATGTGATCCATTGGAATGTATATTTGACACAGGGGAGGGGTCCATGTCTGCGGATTTGTTTCTGTACAAGTAATCAATCGGTGTCAAGTGTAAAGATTTGCGACATGTATATGAATTTAATGTGTTAACTCATTGCGCAGTTCATTGTACTGTACGGTAATCAAAGGCAGTATAGTTTGCTGTACATTTACGCGTTTGTTAGATTGTGTAAGATAGATTAGATGTCACAAGTGTTGAGGACGCCCGCGTCCAGAATGCTAAGATATTAAATATTGTGCAGAAAAGCGAGTCGATTGACCTCCTCAAATTAACTTGGCTCCGGATCTGTCATTGATAGATACGCTGTCATTTAAGGCCCAGTCGTGTCTCTTCCACTTGTACATATTCTCCTCCCTACGTCCTCGATTGATAGGCATCAAAAATTGAACTTTGCCTCAGGTTGCCATTCGGAAATCCATTACGCCAAAGATGCTTTTGGCTGCCCAAAGCAAGATAGATGCGGGTGAACACACAATATCGCAGCGGTTGAGATTGCTGTTCTATGCATTTAATTTCAACAAGCTAGAGTGCGAATATTACAAAGCACATAAAACAAAAAACTACACGTTGGGTTCCATTCTTTCTAACAGCCAGATCACGTATATGTGTGTGGGCGCGGGACTCTGCGTTGGTGTTAGTTTACATGGCGATTGTGATCTTGATGTATTCTCTCCGTTTCTTCCTCTTCTTCAAACTGCTATCGTGTGATGGATCATGTACGCAACTAAAAGGCATCCATGACCACACCTTTTAATAGATACCTTATCTACATGCTGCGTTTTAGTTGTGATTTTGAACATTCGAAGCATGTTTGGAAGATGTCGTTATCACAAATCCCATGGCATTACTCTGCTGAGTCTACACTGGGTGATCCTCATCAGGCTAGGTCTTATCTTTCATTGGTTAATGAGACATCAAGTTAGTTTTTGATAGTTTTATCTGCAAAACACACAGTTCTCAGACTGCATGCAAAAGTCGTTACCTTTTTCACAACAGTAAACCATCGCTGGATTCGGTTCAGCGCTAGTATTCCCCTTCAGTTCGGCATTGAACTCCGGGGCAACGAATAACATGCATTAGCGCAACATCATACAGTAAATGGATACCAAGTCACCAATCTTGCCTCACCTCTCCGTTGTTGTGTCACATATGGAACCTCCAGTATTCTGACATGGGCGTATGTAGCAACGCTAACAGCATTTCGAAACATAAATGGTGGCATTAGATATGTCATTCACTTGGCAATATCGTTCCAAACTTCATGGCTGCTCTCCAGATCAGATCTTGGGAATCAACTTCGCCAGGAGGGCAGAGCAAAGGCCCTTACTAAGAACTAAATCTCACTGGTCACAGACTAATGATAAAGAGCACTAGCACGTTCATCTTGCCCCTTAATACTTCATCCCTGGAGGTACCATGTGTCATAGTCCATATTCACGGGGACGCACTGTGGTGCATCAGATGGAACCCTCTGAGTCATGGTATGTACAACATGAAGAGTAAGTCAACTCTTATGAACGTGCCCGGTGTCAGCAAAGCCTCAGAGTACAATCTCTCGGCAAGAGAAGAGTAAACACTGATCTCACACATAAAATCACGCTGACAGCTAGGGAATAAAACATAGATCTGCTTTGCATGAAGCTGCCAGGGAGCAGACAATCTTGAGTGGTGTACTTGCCCGAGGGGCTTTCATGTTGAAAGATTGAGTTGGGGGAAAAGGAGGTGCCGTGAAGAAAGATATCAGATGGCAAGGGGATGGTTCTAATCACTTTTATGTTCCCTGTCAAGGTCAAATCAATAATTTATGCACCAAGGACTACTTTTTGCTGCTGTATCTTCTGGCGGAAGAGCTCCTTTGAATGCAGAGTGTTTCACGGTCTCAGAAAGAGGTGCGGGGCATCTATATTCCACGACAAACGATTTGTAAAGGTATCATTGACCTACGGCCTGGATTATGGGTTAAGCCTCCTGTCGTTCTAAAGTAATGATATTGCTGTCAATTAGTCCGATGGCGGACGGGTCAAAAGAAGCCGCCTGGATCATGTTCTTGACCCAAATAACAAATATTGGAAAATTCTCGAATATCACACCAAGGTAGTATTCAACAAGTAAATGCACTTATTCCGTACTTATTTCACTCACCAACTTGAGTCTTAAAAACCGATAGTGACAGGAGTAATTATCTCTGTATTTAGATTCAGACCATCATAATTATTTATGGATGTTCCACGAACCTAATTACTTCTGGAACTAACACGATGTTTGAAGTCGTGTGTATCAGAACAGGTGGCAATTTCTCAAAGCTTATATAAGCTGCACGTTGATTAATTACTTTCAACTATGTTAATCCAACTGTCATGCACGAGGATAACGGAGGCTCACCTCATTAAGGCCTGCCCATTCCCCGGTATAGTGAGTGACAGATGTGAGGGTTATACAAACCGTTATCATTTATTCCATAACTTCCCTTGGGTCCCATTAACTTTTCTTCATCATGCAACAATTACCAGGGCTGGGGGTTGTACTAATAACGAAATATGTTCCGCATTGAAAGGTTTAATTTTCTCTTTGATGCTACAAGACTGAGAGGCACTTCTGTCTTCATATATTTGGTAATTACGGCGTTGCTGCTTCACTGCATATTTCCGAGACACTTCAGTTCCAGACGTCTCAGGTATTCTTTTTAATTTCTTCTCCTGGATACAATTTGTCACGGCATCTTCGCCGTGTGCCAACCGTTGCCAAGTTAGCTAGAAACTTCTTCTACAGGATCAACGAATTGATTGACATATACCGGTCTTGCTGCTAGCATGCTGTCTTATTTGTGGGACCTGTGCCCAAATATCTCTAGAAACAACGTTTGACATATTGTATCTATATATATTCAGAGAGAACAAAAGCGATTCCCGTACAATGACCCCATTCTTTCAACATGATGAGGGTTACCCCGATGATCAAACCTCCTCACAAAGTACATCCGAAAGGAGGGGGATTAAAGGATGCTCTTTTGTTTCCAGAATCAAAAGGAAAAATTCATGAAGGCTACCATCAGGCCTAATGTCGACTTTGTCCAGATGAGTCGGCTGAACTCCTGATAGTTGTTAGAGATTGCTGCGCAGTTGGTCATATCAGATGAGGTCAGGTTGCTTTAATATTTCCTGTGCGTCTGATAGATTTTACACGGGAAAATCTATCTGCTTTGAAAATATGTTACGCTCCAAGATCTCCCCTTATTTGCATGGAGTGAGACAATTAAGATGTTACACAGGCGGGGGCGGTAATGCCTTCTGATCTGCCATTCCTTGCTGAGGTTCTTAACGAAATCCCTCGCAGCGGTTGGGAACGAGGAGGAACTGTCATGGATGTTACTTTTAATGAGAAAGGCTTAGACGCGTTCACCTATGGCATTTTATGGTGCTGCATTTTCAGTGATATCCCAGGTTTCCAGGAATTTTCCTTTACGCTTATCAATTCTGGAACAAAAGACCCATCTATACGGAGAATAATGAATTTATTATAGCAAGAAAAGCTGTAACATGTCGGCACTCGCTGAAATTTAGCATTTGTTATCAATTAAGCTTTGTAGGTATTCGGTGCTGTAAGTCGACAGCACAAGACTAATCCAATAATATATTGGTGTTTTTAGACGTCGGTTTAACCTTGATCTTTAGCTGCATTATGTATGCACACTAACTATGCTTTGCTCTGGGAAAATTATCTCAACTACCTGTGTAATGGTGTGACCGCGATGACCTTACTACCTGAAGCAAACACCTAACGAAAATCCTTCGCCTGCCGAGATGGGAAACAAATGAACAACAGAAGAATTTATTCATGAAAGGATCAGTTGCAGCCTGAATTAACTGATCACGTTTCGTCCCTTCAGACCGTGTATTTGTCTTTTCTCCCTTTTATTGCCGTTCTACCCTTGACTGCCGGGCTATTATGGGCGCCGCTGATGCCATTGCCCACGTTTGGGAGTGGCGGATAACACCTCCGCGGGAAAAGTAATATGTACCACAATTCAACTGCAACCTTTATGCGAACCAGTTGCCGGTATTAAAACGCAGCAGAATGAAAAATTACACATGATTACGGTGGGATGTACCCGGCCAGTACGGTTCTGCTGAGATGCACCATGGAGCGGAGGTAGTGGAGCACACAACAGGTCGGCTGCAGAATAATGAAAACCTGCCTTTCTCAGGAGCAGAAGGATTGTGTAATCTTCGTTTGCCATTGATGGATGAAGCTTAGTGCAGTGCATGTACACCAAACTTCCTTCGGTCCATTCGTAATATCTTGATATTTTCTCTGAGTTGTGTCAATACTTGTGATGATACATTGAGTCTACTGTAAAGTTTGTCACTTGATTTTGTTCACTGATTCATTGTTCATTGTCTTCTGTTGACATGTTTTACGCCTTTGTTAAGAACTACAGACACATTCAGTATATCTGATGCACGATCGAATACAAATGCCTATATTCATGTTTGTGTGTTTGTGTCTATCAGGTATGTTGAGTAAATAATGGCATAAAAGGTCTTGATGGGCGATTGATGCATTGCTCGTTTGATGTTCCTAATGCTATTTGTTTGAAAATGGCTGTCACGTTCATCTTGCCAACTACATTGTACGCCTGTCTGCTCGTATTTTCTGTTGTCAACACATAAATAGCAGTAAAACCACACTGTACACATAGAGGGGACCTCATCATCTGTCAGATCGATACACCCCTACATGAACGGACACAATTTTATATGAGAACGCTTTCAATGGATTATAATAAGCAGCTAACAGGGTTAGATCCATTACGTGTACACATGATTTATCGGTGGATGATATGAGACACTGTGTCTGTGTTTTATATCATCCAGGGTTCAAATTCAGCACTGAGGACAAGAGTTGATCTTAACTTCACTCCTAAAAAAGAAGAAACATATCCCACGGTTTCTGAAGGTTACTGGTGGTCAGTTCAAACAGCCCCCCGCCGATCCTATCAGGAGTAAATGGTCCATGTTTGCCCATTTCCGCGGGACTAAGACATAGAAAGGTGTGTATTTCACCGGCAGGGGTCTTGCGGGTAGCGATAGGCTTTCTCCAGCGGGCACGAGGTCAGTGTTTTTATTGCAAGAACAAATATCCCCAGGGCGAAATCTTTATTAAGATGCGCGGATGAGAGTTGGGGGTTATATCTGAAGGAGTTGATTAAAATCACATCCTTCCTGCATGTACGCTCAGTCAGAGTGTGATGCAGTGGCGTGTTTTCGGGCTCCAGATTTTGTGACATATAGCTCTATTCACATGACCAGAACTGCTTCAGATAATTCTGTTATTTTGCATATTTCACCATCAGTTCATTCTTCATATTGCCAAGGAATGCCTTTGATCTTGGGAGTCAGTTTTATCAAACATGGCGATGTTTCTTCGATATGATAGTAATGGCAGCGTGCTTGAAAAAATGATAAAATGTGCGCAGTATAGCCCACGCAATTGAAGGTGGAAGTATATATAGTCCGTCGTTGCTAGCAAAGCTATCATCTCTCCTGAAAATATTATACCAGATGGGGTGTTATTTTTCCTGGTGGCATCGTGCTTGCAGTCAGGAAGAAATATCACTATGTGCTGCGCAAGATATTAAAAGATGCCAAGACACCCATGTACACAGCAATCAAACACCAGACTAGAAGGTTACAGAATGCATACGAAATGGAAAATGATACCCATATCATTTCTACGGGGCAGACCTCCCTGAATCGAAAGCCCATAACTTGCACAAGTTGTAAATGACTGAATGTTTTATCTGAACCTATAAAAATCAAATGCTATCTGTAGAGATGAGGATGGAGAGTGTGACCGTGCGTGAGTGCACTTCACACCTACACATCATGTCATAAATATGTGCACTTAAATTTTCCATATTCCGCACAGAGAGGAGGTGGAGTTGGCCGTTCCCAGAGTTCCCGGCGCCGGCTGGTCTGGCGACTGGCGCGGCACCAGGCGGGCAGCACGGGAAGTGGTTCGCGCTGTACGTCCTGCGTGGCTGCCGTCTTCCCACCAACCCGGGACACTTTGTTTGAGTACGCGCGGCCGCCGACCCACCAGCCTCCTTGATGCATGTAGGTTTTATACGTGATACATCTCTGTCACAACTAACCACGCAAATGCAGCCCTGCCCCAAGACGGTCCTACTCCTCCGGACAGCCAAACCCAATTAAGATAGATCTGCGCGATCAATGGACTTCGCGCACACTTCGACATCCCGGTACAGAAGGGGCCTGTCGTATTTCTGGCTGCGTTTGTGTTGACTATTCGAAACACCAGTCAGCGATTTCTCTCTAGTAACCTATCTGCATCGGAGGTTCATTTCACGGGGGATTATTTTTCTGCCTGCTGGATCGAGCGTGTGGACCCGCCCTAGGCGTCGTCAACCTACTTGATTGAAGCGATCATAGGTCTTTTACGCTCTTTACATATTATGAAGTCCAGAGGAACGAGAGCGTGCCGGTGAGTGTGTGACGATGCGGGGACGTCGCTGAAACCCCTCTTTTCCGATCAAAGTCGACTGGTCCGGGCGTACGTCGTTCGCAGGAATCCAACGCTAGCTGCCCGTACAAACCCTTTATAGTAGCCCTGTAAGCAGCTGGCACAATACAGTAGTGAGGCGCCCGCACCACGATGATACAGCCGTCTTGGCTCGCCTTCTACATCCTGGCTTTCCGGGCATTAAAAGGTAAGGCTCACCTTCGCCGCCTGTTTTCTTTATTGCAGGTCATCACGTCGGCTGTACAAATGATCGCGGCTCAGCATTGTTGTCGTTACCTGGATGGGCCGATCGTACAGGCGGCACATACAAATGGAATATCGCATCCCCTCTTGAGTTGAAAATCTCGGTACTCTACTTTGGCTAATCCATTTCCCTGTATGTGCTTTTACTTAATCCCACGTATACATCACTCCTATTTAATTGCTGACAACGGGTAGGAATCATGTCGTTTCCGGGATATTCGAAGCGAGACCAATATTTCTTCTCTTAGTTATATTGACGCGTTTATAAGAGTATCTCGCGCGTCGATGCACTCCAGTCCCGAGACGGGCAGATTTCGATTAGTTCACCGAGCAAGCACAGCCAGCGCAGGGCTTTATAGGGTCCTACATCAGATTCGATGAGTGTCGAAAGAACCCTAGGGGCAGCAGCAAGGTCCTGATTTATTTTCCTGGAATTCCATAACTTAAGCACACTATTCATACAAACCCGCGGAGGCCGTACTCAGACTTTACAGCTATTCATCACCACGAAAAACCTACTGCAGACGAATACACATGCAATGGCTGGCCTAGCCTACCGGTACAAGTCTTTATTTTTCATTAGAGGAAGCGCGCTGTGAGAGGCATGACGAAGATAATGGCCTGTCTTTCAGGAGATACTCTTGAAGTTAACTGCACGTTCTCTGAGACTGTCAAGTCATCATCACTGCTGGAAGATATTCTTTGATTTCCCGCGAACCCAGAGTGCCTAGAGACTCATCAATTATCGACGCTTCGTATAGAATAGCAATTAGTCAATTGTGCGCTCCACCGGCCCCATCCACGCAGCACTAATGCTTGACATGATCCCAACGAATAGCGGGACTAATTAAACTTGCATCTAAAATCACACGACAGGAATTGGTATTGGGGAGCTCCATTACAATCACTCGTTTCTTTGCACAGAATATGGACGAATTTTGGAAAAATACAATGTAAGCAAAATTTGATCAAAACCTGAGGAATTAGAATCAATACCAGAGAACCCAATTGCTTTCTCTGAAAATGAGAACAATACGGGACTTCGATCGTTCTCGATACTCTTAATTTGTAATCAGTAGTTTTTGGACTAGCAATCGTGCCTGAGGGACCTGTGCGATGGGTTCAGTTTCCGGGCTGTAGATTCTAACTGGCACCTACATTAATACGTGCTGATACCCGTATTGATGTTGGCCGGCCTCCCGCTGTTAGGCGTGTGTCCCTGCCCTCCGGCGGTAAGTGGTCTGACTCCGCGCACAGACCGGAAGAGAAAATGTTCAACTTTTGACCCCACTTTTTCTCCTCTTGCTCTGTATCTCACGACACAGAGCTGAAGAAAGATATTCTGTTCAAAATTCATACCTTGTGGCACTGGGGAAAAATTCCAATTCAAAGGCAATCGGTTCTATTTTTGCAGGAGCAGAGATTGCAACGTCGAGGAGCAGGTTTGGATGTGTTGTCTGATTTATACTGTTCTGTCTCTGCGACCCTTCCTCTCTCTAGATCTGTGCTTCACATTCAGTATCGATTTTTTGTGATCCTTTTTAAAGTTTGACCAGATGCTGATCGAAATTTTATCCATCAAGTAAGGACATTGTCGCATTAGGCCGACCGTTTCCACGATCAGCTGCCTTCCTCGGCGTAATGCCTTCGTATCCCTGTCGGATCACTGCGAGGATTTGTGGAGGCTTTACCGGCTCATCAAGCGTACAGGCAGCGGGGTACTTTGCATGGCAGACGGCATGTCTTTTTACGCCTTGTTCTTCTCCGTGTTCATTCTTGTAGGTTCAGGAGCACAAGGGAACGGCGGGACACCGAGAGCAGTCACCGCGGTGGTCGGGGAGTCCGTGACGCTACCAGCCGCCTTTTCTACCCGCGAGAACATACTTTCCGTCACGTGGAGCAAAGTGAACACAGATCAGTCAACAGTACAACAAAGAGAACCCGTATTTGTCTTTTCAAATGGGAACTCGAAGTCACACGGAGCGTACAAAGACAGAGTGCTTCTCTCCGGGAAGGTATCATTACGCATTGCTAACATCCGAGTGCAGGATGACGGGATGTACGTGTTGAACGTCATGACAGAAGACCTGGAGACGGGAGAGGAGTATGTCCGCTTGATCGTGATGGGTGAGGCTTTTTGTTCAGATTTCACATTCTACCGCACTGCAGAAACTCATGTGATACATAAACCTCTAATTTACAGTGCAAAGATGTACTCTGTGGTAGAGAAACGCTTGACACACTACATAACAACACAAAGGCCGCCGTAGTCTTAGGAGCACACCCCGAATGCTCCGAAAGACTATTGACCCGTGGCTATGAAAATAGGTAGGATTTATTTCTCAATAAAGCCAAATCGCCACCGTTTGGCATTAACCCTTTGAAACAAGACGCATCAATAATGCATGCCCAGTGCTCCCGAGGCAATATGCTTCTTGTCCGAGCTTTGAACCGACTTCTCGCTCCCCGGCAAATAATCAGGTTTGAATCTCAGCGTTTCTGTCACGGTGGGTCGAGGTCAGCATCAAAATTAAATCAAACCGACAATTCCTAGTAACCTACATCCATGTTGGTACAGAATAGCTGCGCAAGGTTTCCAATAAAAGACAACTATTTAAGATTTAGTACCAGAAATTCCTGGCCCCGATGTCATGACGGTGATGTTGTGAATGAGTTCTGAGGTGCCCCTGTCATTTCCACGCCCACAGTTACAAACAGATCGGATTTCAAAGTCACCTTTCGCTACCTTAACTTGCCAAATTCAATTCAAAGCCAGATAGCCAATTAGGATTACCGAACATCATGGCCATCGCCCTTAACCATTTTCCTTAAACCGCAATTCTTGTTCTAACGTATGCCCCAAGGCTATCAGCTCTCACTCTCTCCATGTGAACATAAAATGGTATCCGTTCGATGATATTTCCTCTGGTCGTTATAATCGGGAAATGCAAGTTCAATCTGACACCGTTATTGCATGTAGATACTTGTATTGCACTTGTGGAAGAACTTAATGGAAGCATTGCCAACGCAATAACTCACAAAGCTTGTTCGTGGTCAAAGACGCAGGTAATAACGATAAACCTATCTGTGTAAGCTCCCCCATAAGAAATGGAAGGAAAATTGGATGGTAGGCGAAGCGTTAGCCAATGGGTCCCTGCGCTGGAACAGACAGCTGGGAAAGTACCCTCCTACAGCAACATGGTCGTCTTTCAGGGTTCTAAATGTCCGGGAGTCTGTTAATCTCCCCCGGCCAGATGGAGCACTTTGCGTACAGGTTCCTACCTTCATGGGCCATTTACTGTGTAGAGAGTTCAGCAGCCACAGGTCAGGAGAAAAATCTGCACCATCTTTCCGTGACCTTGTAATGAGGGACCTTCCAGAGGATTTTCCGTCCGGCTGACAAATGTGTGCCGAAACGACGAGCATGATAGATGGTGGGGATTAACCGGTACGGATGGCCCGTGTCAACAAACGTATTCATTTCCCCCTCTTGTCAATACGTGCGATAATGTCATGGTTAACTAAGCGGATTCAGACTGGAACGTCCTTGTAGGGGTAAAACTGTGTAAAATTTGCATAAATGTAGCCCATTGGCTCCATTCCAGTGTGACTGTAACCATGTTTAGTTTTAGTTCGTCAATTTTGCTTTTGTATGTTGGCCAGTATATGTTGTATGTGTAAATATTGGCCAGTAAGTACCAGAGTTAAATAAATAAATAAACGTCATTTGCACCATACGTAAGGGAACCTTATGTACAATCTGTTTCCTCACAAGTCTATATGTCAATCGCTCGAGATCTTTATTTGCAATCAGATACAGATTCGTGTACAGATACATATTCATTTACAGATACAGACTCATGTACAGATATACAGATACAGATTTCCCGAGTATGATGACCGTGTCAGTCCCCACACCTGAGAGAGGAAGGTTGACACAGTGGCCTTCGCGTGGGTTTGATTAAGGTGGATGACAGGTTGCGAAAAAAAATCCAAAAATATACATAATATTGAGTTGTGCAGCTGTACCCTATGCAACTGTACCTTACCCGAGGGGCAGGGCACTAATGTTATCGTACCCGATCTTACCCTAGAGGTAGGGCAGCAAAGGTGTTGATAAGGCAATATAAAGCTGTATCTCTGCGTATAACCTGGGGTGCCGTCCCATATCAAGCAGAACTAGGTCAGACGTGGCTCATAAATATATCATAACCCATCGGACATATCATTTAATCGTTAACACCTACAGGCATTGCCCTCTGTACTGTATATTGGAATATGTTCAGTGAACTAAAAAATGTATTCGTATTTTGCAGTGCCTCCAGTCGTGAAGGTTGGACCGTCCAGTCCTGTGGTTAGCAGCTGGGGAAAGTCAGTGACATTCAAGTGCACAATAAGCGAGGCACGGCCTAATATCTCCGCCTTACACTGGGAAAAAGACGGCATCCCCGTTCAGAGCATTGGCGTGAGCTCCAAGTACTCTGGGGGAACCCTGGCGTCGCCATCTTTAACCGTACGTCACGTGACCAGAGCAGACACGGGCAGTTACACATGCGTGGTAAATCACGTGGTCAGACCAGTCACTTCAAGTGTACAGCTAAAAGTCCTATGTAAGTACAAACATTCTCTTGCCGCAAGGTCATTAACACTAACAGTCATTTCTTCTATACGAGCAGGCCCTCTGATTTGCAGGCTCTCTGATTCGTCAACCGTAATCGCATTAACGCAGCAGTGTCTTACCCACGCCTGGAAAAACATTGGTTTCGACGGCGCATCAATAATCTACAAACTGCAGAGCAGTTCCTGTTGTATTATTTACGTCTGTCCATTGACGATGATGTCAATCATTTGTCTCACTGGTGAAGTACACCCAGAGGAGGTGTGGAAGTCAGCGCCTGGGTTTAATGGGTCCATAAAAATTCCTTTCTGATACCTTCCCGCCATGTATGGTGTTAGCTAGCCCCTAAACAGATAGGTCCGGTCAATCTTTGTGAAAAAGATGAACGCCATAGCCTGGTCGTTACTCGTTATTGGCTTAGCTATATACTCCCCTTTCTTTTTTTCAGTTATGGCAAACATACATAAACGAAATTCATGTAGAACGAATGCAGAACAGATTGGGAGGAGCAAATCGCCTTTTTGTTTAACCATTGTGACCAACACGCTTAGCGAGCAAAATCAACACCATCGTTAATTAGATTACATTGTCCCAACCGTTTGACCCCTTATCTGCCTGCATTTCCGCTTCTGACGAATCTTCCAATATCTCCGCGCCAACCACTTCGTTAGGTATGCAAATGAAGAGCATATGTCAACTTGAGTCTACCAAATCGATTTGACACGCACGGCGGTGACATTGCTGCAAAGCTTTGTCCTTTGTCTTCCTACGTAGTAATTTGCATATTTTTCCGACGGGTTTTCTCTCTACATATATACATGCGTCCATGGCTATGTATGTCAATCTATAACCTGGATACTATACTTGAAAAGCAACTGCTCTTTTATTTATATTCACACTAAACGCTTATGGCTTTGTAAAGACAGGTATGTAGGTATGCATTTTACTTCAATCAACGAAAAAATCGTTAAGTGTGATCGAAAAGGTATTCATTTTATGTAGAATCCATTGAATTTCAAACAGAATGTACACCACGAATCCCATTATATGCATCGTAGATACAGAACTAACTAGCTGCATCAAGACGCACACACCGGCAATGCGTATCTAAACGATTCCATCAGATTTGATTGAAACAAGGTTAATGAAGAAAGCTGAGTCACACAAGTGTTGAAATCGTTCACAGACATATAAGGGATTTTCTATAGCTTTACGACGCCGTTCATCAGTGTTCGGCCGAGTGGAGAGCAGGAATTACAACACTCATACTTCAGCACCAAGGAGAGATGCCGTAATTTTACTGCTACAACACGCATACTTTAGTTTAGCGCGCGTGAAAGATATCGTTATTCTACCGCTATAACACAGGATTTAGAACCAAGGACAGGTGCCATTGCTTTACTGATGTAGCACACAAAGTCAGCGCCGATGAGAAATGCCGCAAGTTAATTTTCAAAACGCACATATTTTAGGGCCAAAGAAAGATACTCTACTGCTATGGCACGTGAAAGATATCGTTCGTTATTCTACCGCTATAACACAGGATTTAGGACTAAGGACAGGTGCCATTGCTTTACTGATGTAGCACACACAGTCAGCGCCGATGAGAAATGCCGTAAATAGATTGTTAAAACGCACATGTTTTAGGGCCTATGAAAGATACTCTACTGCTATGCCACACACAGTTTAGTACTTAGGAGAGATGTTGTTGCTTTACTGTCATAGCACATACGGTCCATCACCAAGGAGGAATATCATAACTTAACTGCTAAAAGACGTACAGTTAAGCGCTAAGGAAATGTTGAAAGATATCGTTACTTTGCGGCTATAGAATACACAGTTCAGCACCAAGGAGAGATGCCATCGCTTTACAGCGAAAACACATGCAGTTAAGCACCTGGGAGAAATACCGTTAAAATACTACTAAAATAACTGGCGTCTCTCTGTCCTTCACTGTAAACCCAGTGACGTAAGTCCCCTCTATTCCTAGTGCCCTGTAAAATCAGCTGCCTATTCAGCTTAGACACACCAACGTGCGAGATATCTTCTCAGATGACCATCATTACACGGATCACGTAGTTTGCGCAATAAAGCTTTAACGGCGATAATGTTGTATGCATTACCAACTTTGTGATCGCATCATCCCATTTTTGTAACGTTACAGCATCAATCTTGATCGGGGGCAAACATTACGGCACGGCGGGTCCCCGCAGCGCGACCACTTACAGACACCTTGGATAACACCGGGTATTCTTGTGATGTCGTGATAAGTGTAATTGCTGCATTCATCGAGACCAGGTGGTGATGGTTTATGATAAGGCCAGCAAGTCGCGTGTATTGATCAGGTCTAATCCCGACATGGTATTAAAGATAGTCCTACGTCAGTCGTCAAGACTGTAGCCTGCCGCCAGTTAAACGTCGCGTTAGGGCAATTACAAGCTCTTTCCGGCCAGCTGAATATGGCAAGATAATAAAAGCAAAGCTCCGCCTGGCCTGAGTAGGTGTTTGGAGGTGCACCTAATGTGATTGCTGTGGCTCAGCCAGCGCTATCTGCCGCGCTTGAAATGCGTTCTGTCAAATGTCGAATCAGTCAAGAGGAGTACAAGCGTCTGGGCTGACGTTTAGATGGGTAAATGTAGACACTCCGGCCATGCTCGTTTCCACCACAAGCCTCTGCACAGACGTCAAAACCCTTGATGGATGGCCCTTTTATGCATTTCCTGTTTCCTGTATGGCAGGACTATTAGTAGGCATTCGCACCTTTTGGCAGTGGGGGGATTATCTTGTCAACTCTTTGAACAGGTGTTCGCCATCCAGACTTTCACTTTAGCTTGTAACAAATGCGTCCCTGTAATAAATCTCCCTTTTCATTTGCAGACCCGGCATCTATCATAAGCATATCAGACGCGATCGCCGTGACTGTTTCTGACCGAGTGACTCTTCAGTGTGTAGCAGACGGCAACCCTCCCCCCAACATCACATGGACCAAAAATGGAGTCTTACTGCCGTCTGTGGCGCACACGTTATCTAATGACGTCCGCGCCTCGTCCGTGACGCTGAAAAGGGTGCGGATGAACAACACCGGAGCCTACGTCTGCGCGGCAAGCAACGGCGTGGGCAAGAGCGACTCCAAAGCTGTGCAACTCAGCGTCACACGTAAGTAATAAAAACGATAACAATCACCAACTTTTCTACACTAAATGCAATACACTCAGAATACTAGTTGGCATAGAGGTTCTAAAAAACACAACAATGCCGATACATGTTAGTGTCTGAATGAGATCAGAGAAATATCTACTGAAAGTGATTCTCAAGTTGCCCATTGGATACATGCCAGAATGTGAACCCGAAGAAACAAGAGGAATACATGCTAACAACGCAATAAATGGATTCAAGGGGCCCCTGATAGACACGGCTATGGCTGCAACAGGCATGTAAGTGGCGCGGGAATAGAGTCGTTTTGAATCATTATTTCTAACAGCCAGCTCTCGGGCTGACAACTCACCCTTTCTCGTACGCAAAATATCTGTCCGTATATCATACGGTATCGATAATCGTTACGAAAGAGGGAAGAAAGGTGGCCATTTGTGTGCCACAAGATCGATTCAGTGCCAAACGTGCAAAATATTATTGTAATTTTCACGTTCAAATTCCCCGTGTGGTGCCTGGCGATATGCTGGGTGATTTTTGCTGGCCCAGTGCTGACTCCACCCCGGTGACACCTGTTACAGCGCAGGGAGGGCTGCCGGCACGACGCATTAACGCTGCCGAGGAGCTCATTACGGCCCTCACGCAATATAAGGGGGTCAATAAATCATCCCTGATGCGCGGGAAGTCCTGACCCAATGACTATACTTTAACAGGCTTCGCTCTCTGACCTTCGTTCGAAAATTACGTTCTCAGACCAGGCCGTAAAAAAGTGTTTTTAAAGATTGGTATTGCTATGTTTAGGAAATGATTAAAAGGAATTTAATAGTATCAGCACGCATTGTTTTAGTTTATTAATTTTGTTTTCAGTTCATTAATTTTGTTTCCAGTTTATTAATTTTGTTTTCAGTTTATTAATTTATCTTTAATTGTTTCACGTTTACGATTTTGTTATTAGAGTGAACACTCATTGATCTTGCGGGCAACATACATCACGAAGAGATGTTCCATGCGGCTCAATAATGAACAAAATGGCGGGTATTGAAATAACAGTCTTGGTGGAATGCACGTTTGGTGAGAGGAAGTGATGAAATAATATAGAGGGCCTCTTTACGCACGAAGTTTAAAGGCATCCAATACAGTTTTTAGGGCCTGGAAACCCATTTTTTAAGTCAATATTCTAGTGTCTTATCTCCATACAGAGTTAAAACCACACTACTCCCATGTAAAATGAGCCTTATGCAGCGCAGCAAATATACCCAAAATTATGACGGAAAATGGTCACTGGAATTTTTAGGTTACCTCCCCTAAAATAAAGGACTCATGTTGGGGCTTGTTTCTGCATTTTTAAATACTCAAAGTGTGAAATACTGATTGAAATGTGCTAATGTGAAGCAGAGTATGTGTCAATATCATAAAGATTGCCTTATTCAGAATATTTTCAGTTTTGCTGCTCTAAAATAGCATTGGATGCCTTTGAGATAAGTGCATTTTCAACCAGACTATTCTCTTTGTAATTCATCAATTCCTCATCTGAATGAAAAACTCATTCATAACTTGTTATGCGACCTGTGACACTGTAGCCCGATAAACAGGATGGAATAAAGGGTCGTCATTTATCAATGTCATCGGGATATTTAACATGTACCGTAGATAATACTACAAACTCAAAATACGGGCTGAACATTGTAGTACATGGTGTAGAATGTTAAATAAAATAAATAAAAAATAATAATAGTTTATTGACAACAATCCTTGTACATGGCAGCGTTTAAACCGCTGAATTGCGTACACAGGTTTAAAAACAATTAAACAATAAGGTGGGCTAAACAAACAAAGGACATTGACAAACTAGGTACAAACAACTTAAACAAATACTAGCTGTACGCAGTTATAAATTAGATATATAAGGATTAAAAACAATATTGGTCCGGTACTGGGAGATTTCAACCTAGGTCTGCTTGTTTATTTAACAAATCAGTGAAATAGGGGATTGGGCTCGTTTTGTACCGCTTTGTTTTCGTCAAGGGGATGTCGAGTTGGTTTGCCCCCTTCAGGCATCTGCCATGGATGTCTGAGCGGGATGGGGGTAACCAATGTCGGAACGAAGGGGAGTTAAGGAGGGACTTTGCAAACTTAAGGCTAAGGGTTTCTCTTCTTTTCTCTAGGGACGGCAAACATAATTGGGACAGGGCGATGTTGTAAGACGTGTACAGGGGGCCAAGGATTATTTTTACTGCTCGTTTTTGTATGCGTTCGATTTTTATTACTTGATGTACAGAGATACTTGAATTCCAGACTGGGGCCGCATATTCAAGGGTCGGGCGTATGTATCCTTGGTAGAAATCGCAAAGGTCTTGAACAGGGAGTCCGGAATGTTTCAGTTTCTTCAGCCAAAAAAGACGTGAGCTCCCCTTCTTTGTTATAATTTCAATATGTTTGTTAACGGTACAAGCTCAGAGCTGCATAACTAATGAATATTCCTTAGACATCTCAAGGATAGCGCAGGTGACAGCTCGAAGGAACGGGTTAAGTAGGTAACATATTGACTGCGGAAGAGAAGTTGAAATTTTGAAAGACTTACCGTCAAAGCTTTATCTCATCCCTGCACACCCTGTCTACCCTGAGGAGTTACGACACTGTGCTGGAGCTATTAGCAAAGTTGTGGGACTTCGTGTGTTGAGAGGATGGGAGTTAATTGCTTGAAGCGGTGCTTTTCTTCTTTCGCTACGGCGCTGAT